TAAAACAAATTCCGTAGAGGTGTGCACACCCTCAATGATTAATTGTTCATCCTGAAGTAAATTCTTTGAATCAAAGTGAATAAAACATCCATCTCCTTCGCTTAATTCAATAATTCTGCTTGAACTATTACTTGTCACCTTGATGACAATTGGCACTTCAATATCGTCATCTTTCTTTCTTCCTTGAGATGACTTTCCACTCGTATCTTCCTTCTTTTGATTAAACAATGGAATGTGAATATAAATTTGTCTATCTGGATGGAGTGAATGTGTCACTTGTTTTCCTTCTTCCAAAACACATGACAGGGCATAGAAATCTTGATCGATAGCAATAAGATTTTCACTCTCAGGGTCATTTACAACTTCTTTAGGGGCAATCATCATGCAAAGTTGATTCAATTTCTGAGCTTTCGAATAATTTCTTAGTTGATAATTTGGTTTGGAATTCAAAGTTCTAGGTTTCACCCAAATTTGCAACAAATGACAAATATCCCTCTTATTTCTATTAAACTCACTATGTTCAATTCCACTTCCAGCAGAAGTAAACTGAACTGAACCTTTCGTACAAACTTCCACATTTCCCATCGAATCAGAATGTGTCAATTGACCACTCAACACATACGTAAATATTTCATAATTTCTATGAGGATGCCTTCCAAATCCATTCGAAACTCCAACAAAATCCTCATTCAACACTCTCAATGGTCCAAATTGAGTAAATTTTCCATTCGAATATTTTGCAAAATTAAAGGTATGATAAGAATCCAACCAATCTTCTAGGAAATGACCTCGTTGATGAGAGGAGAGAATTTCAAATTTCATTTTTGTGATTTTTTTTGATTTTGTTTTTTGAAAATTTTTTGATTCTAAATAAAGTTTTTTGCGTATTGGGAAGCGCATTAATTGATGAGTTAGTGCGCACTCAATTTCTGAAAGAAAAAATGCTGTAAAAAATGGGGTCAATCCTGTGGTTATTTTCTCGATCAATATAGTGGATTAGGAAACGATATTTGAAGGAAAGATAGATTTACATGTCTAGTTTATGTGGTTAAAATTTTAAAGTTTAACTCCTACTAGGAAGGGCAAAAATTGACATTTCAGATGCGTCGACCGGGAATTGAACCCGGGTCACGGCGATGGCAACGCCGTATTCTACCACTAAACCATCGACGCTTCTTGCAAATATTTTGTTAATATCGTCATGGAACCAAAAACAAAAGTGCCGGCTAGCTTTGTCCACTCAGAAACAATTCGTTCCTTTTGAAAATCATCCTGAAATTAATTTCCTTTACTTTCCCATTGAGATAGAATTTCTTTGGCTTGAGCATTCTCAGGTTCCACTTCAATAACTCTTCTTAAAAAGCTTAATGCTTGTTCATCTTGTTTGAGGAGTTTGAACATGATTGCGGCAGTGAAGAGGGCTCTACTATTGTTTGGATTCAATTGTACACCCTTCAAACAACTTTCCAAAGAAGTGTCGAGGTTTTTCATTTCAAAGAGAAGATCTGCCTTGGTAAGATATAAATTGGATAGCAATTCAGTGTTGGATGGGTCAATCTTTTCAATAATTCCAATTACTGTATCGGTATCTTGAATGCAGCGTTCAAAATCACCAGCTCTCAAATAACATTCAGCTCTAGTATAGTAGGCATTGAATCGAATATCATTGCTGCTCATTGCACTGCTTGTTTGAGAAGTATCCTGCTTTTCAAAATCGTTAATAATAATTGTCAAATCATTGATTGCTTGTTCAAATTCTCCCAAATTCACATGACAAAGTGCCTTAAAATAGTAACAAGCACTTGCATCAAGAGTTGAAATTTGACTAGCAGTCATGACAAGCTTTTCATTATCAACCTTTTGTTCACTCAAAACCTTAATCATTTCAGTAAAATCAGCAATTGCTTCTCTAAACTTTTGCAAGTGGAAATAACAAGAAGCTCTATTATAAAATCCAAGAGTATGTGATCCATGATCCTTAAATTCCAAAACCTTACTATAATGTTGAATAGCATCTTCATATTTCTCCATAGATTTCACACAATTTCCAGCTCCGAGCCATGCCTTAACAATCACATCTCCATAATACCCACGATGCTCATCAGTCAATGCACTTTCATAAATCTCAATAAATCTACAATATTCATCAAAACCATCTTGAAATTTCCCCATAAATTCCAAAGTATTGGCAATCTGGAAAACTATGGATGGATTATTTGGTTCCAACTCTTCGGCATGAACAAAATGTTCCAAAGCCTTTGGAAAATTCCTTTGTGAATATTCTTCCATTCCCGAATTAAAAAGTACTTCGGCAGGATTTGTTGTTGTATAATTATTGTTATTGCTATTGCTATTAGTATCATGATGATCTTCTCGGATCATGGATGTTAATGAAAAATGTCTTTTTTGGCAATTGTTAATACTATTAGTATTGCCAAGCTTTCTGAAATTAATTAAATTGAAAGAAGACCTCTTGATTCTCTGAATGATGGTGGTTCGGTTGAACAATAATTTTTGAGAACAAGTTTTGCCAAGCTTGGAGAGCAACATTTTTTTAATCTTGTTTTCAATCAGTTTTGTGTGTTCAGGCCTTTCGTTTACTGGTCTTTGTAATAATCATATTTTGGAGTCTAGGTATTCGAAATATTGCTGGAGATTTAGTAGTTGTTGGAAAATGAAAAGAACAAACGATTATTTGGATCAGCAGATCTTGAATGATGATGGAAGGTCAATCAAGGTCACATCTCCAACAAGGAATTGAGAAATGAAAAATCGAAATCACTCTTCAGAATGAAACACTTTGATAGAAGGGATAAATTGTCAAGATCTACCAACAACAATCATATTACAATACATGCTGCATTCATCACTTAAAAAAAAACGCCAACAAGAAACGTGTGTTGATTTTCAATCACTCCACAGTCACACAGTATGGTTTTATCCGTTAGCAACAAGGTTATTCTCGACAATTTCGAAAGAACCTCTCCACTATCTTGGACATTTAGTAATGGAGCAGAGTTTCCTGGTGCTGTGGGATCTCTTTCTTTGGCTCCTAATCAAGGATATGATGGCTCAACAGGTCTTAAATTATCATTCAATTTGACAGCTGGTAATTATGTTGCTGCAAGTTATCACTTGCCACAGACACAAACTTTCACAATTTTGGGGTTCAAAGCGTTGGCACCTGTCAATAATTTGTTCAGTGTGAGAATTTCTGATCAGACTGGACAAGTTTTTCAATACAGAGCATTGAGGTTATTTGAACAATATGAAAGAGAATGGGCAGATATCATGGTAAATATCAATACATCACCAACTTCCTCATGGGGAGGTGCTGCTGATAGAGTTATTCATTTCCCAATTAAGGCAATTAGTATCTTGACTGAAATTGCTGAGAAGGGAACTAGTCAAGATGTTGGTTACGTTATCATTGATGATGTTTTTGTTTCTAATCAATCAGTTATTGATTTGGATGTGACAAATTTTGTCAAAAGTCCATTCGTAGGTCAAAATGAAGATGGAATTGACATGCTATCAAGAATGGGTGTCAATATTCACTTTACAAGTGATGACAAAGGATTAGATGCTGTCAAAGAAGGTGGTTTCTCGTGGATTAGAATGGATTTGTTCTGGTCAACAGTTGAAACAACCAAGCAAGTTTACAATTTCTCTTCTTATGACACCTTATTGACTGCGTTGAAATTGAGAGGATTGAAAGCATTATTCATTCTGACCTATTCCAATACTCTCTACACTGGAAGTTCCTCTACTCCACCAACTACAGATATAGCCATCGAAGCTTTTGCTAATTATAGTAGAGCAGCTGCTATACATTACGCTAATGAGAATGTTATTTTCGAGGTTTACAATGAGGCAGATCGTCATGGATTCACTCCAACTACTTATGCTGCATTATCAAAAGCTGCACTAGCTGCCATTAGAGAGGGAAATCCGAATGCTCAAGTTTCTACAACTGGTGTTGCTGGTTTTTCGTATGGTTTTGTGAGAGGTTTCACATCTGAAGGTGGTGCTGCCTCAAAGAATGGTTCTCAATTGTTTTCTGGAATAGGATTGCATCCTTATGGAGTTGGTGGTCCTAAATCACCTTTTGGAAGATTCCCTGGTTTGACTAGAAAGTTCAGATCAATTATTAATGATAATATCAATGCCACTCTTCAAGGACACGCATCTACATTGAAAAGTGCTCAAACATCTTTGATTTCTACTGTGCCACCTGTTTGGGATACCGAATGGGGTCTCTCAGCAACTGATTTCGACTCCAATTCGAATGGATTGGACGAAACCGCATTGAGACTTCATGCTAATAATGTAGTAGGAAGATTACTCTCCTCATGCGCAGTTGGTTTCCCAATTTTCATTTATTACGATTTGAGAAATGATGGAGTTATACCAACAAATAGAGAACACAATTTCGGTTTGCTTTTCAATAATTATACTGACAAGCCAGCCATGAAAGCTGTCAAGCAATTGAGTTCAATGGTAAGAAATAGATTATTTGATGGATTTATTCAAATTGAACACCCTTCTGTAACTGCCATGAGGTTTAAAAGTTCAAACGATTCAGTTGTTATCTTGTTGCCAACTGAAAGTGGAGCTTCAGTTATTGTTAAGGCAAATAATGCCAGTTCAGTAGTGGATATTTTTGGCAGAAATGTAACTGTTTCAAAAGATAATACGTTTATGGTGAAGGAAACTGAAGGATTGGTCTATGTAACTTTTGTGACGCCTAAAGAAACACCAACCGTATGTCAACCAACAGTTCAAACATCAAACAGCACAAATATTTCATCACCTGAGAAGGTAATTTGAAATTCCTGCTTCTTTATCAATGATCAAAAATAAAGAAAACTGCAAAAGGAAACATAATTTTATTAAGGATTTTTGATACCATGCCAGCCTTCCTAGCTCAGTTGGCAGTAGCGCTGTCCTAGTAAGACAGAGGTCTTGGGTTCGATTCCCAAGGGAGGCATCTTTTAGCTGGATTAAGGTTTCATTCTGCCTTTATTTACTATTTAGTGTCCAATCGATCTTCAAAAGCCCATGAGCTTCGCATACTAACATCGTCCACCATTTCTCTGAGTTTTTCCAATCTCATATTCGCCACGAAATCAGTCGGATCTCTGCTCACAACCTTTCCAAATAACTCAATCGCCTTCACCACATCTTCACTTTTAAGATTATTCATAGTTGAGCTCATGTTCATGGAATCCACCACCCCAAAAGTGTGTTTCTGTCCATCAATTGTAAGCTTATCTGGAACGCATTCACCATGAGAGTAACTTCCAAACATTATCTCGATTGCATCTTCAAAGTTGGTCTTGTTTTTGGCTTTCAATTCGTGCGAGTTATTCGAAACTGTTGAAGGTGTTCTTGTGAGAATTTCAAATACCCAACTTGCTTGTTGTCTTCCAACAACTGCTAAGCGGCCTATTTTTCTTTGATTCCTCTTTGGAAGAAGTGGAGATGTTTCAATTACTTCCTTCGTAACGAGAATGTCAACTCTGTAATGTTTAGTCAAAGATTCCAAACGAGCTGCCAAATTGACAGTATCTCCAATAATGGTTGGATCAACTCTTTGATCTTCACCAATCAATCCAACTGCACATTTACCTCTTGCAATTCCAATTCCAACTCTAACTGTTGGATATTTCTTACTCTTATTGAATTCTAATAATCTTCTTTGTATTTCCATTGCTGCCAAAACAGATTGACCAGGAGTTAAAAACAATGCCAAAATACCATCACCCAAATACTTGTCAATATATCCACCATGTTCTCTCACAACTGGTCCAACCAATGACAGATAATTATTCAAAAATTCAAAAGTCTCATCTGGTGTCATCTTTTCACAAATACTTGTATAACCTCTAATGTCAGCAAACAACACATCCAATTCCATTTCAAAGTAATCTCCGTGCGTAAGGTCCATTACACTCTCCTTCTGAACAATCGACATGAATTCCTTTGGAACAAATTTGTGAACTGTCTCATTGTGCAATCTTAACAAGTCCTGAATGGTCCTCGAAAAGATTAACGACATAATTGATGAAAGGAAAATTCCCATAATTCCACCCACTGTATATCCTATCAATTCCTTAATAGCAAGCCCCTCTGATTCATTCTGATCCAACAAAATATCATCCCTAATCATATTCTCAATAGTTTTCAATTCATCGATTTTTTGTGTAATATTCCAGAACCAATTTTGAGCTGTAAAAATTGTCTTGGCATAGGTCAAATTGAAAGGAGAGGCCAATATGTATGATTCCATCATGTTTGTAACGGTCGCATTATTCACACTCAATGAAAGTTGCTCAAAATATTTGAAAGATCCAACATTTCTAGATTTGGCATCAATGATTGTGAACATGGTATCAAATCTTGATCTCAAATACAAGTAACTGACATAGAAATCATTGGTAAAGGCACCAGCAGCTAATCCATTACTCACAGTAGCTCTCTTCTGACCCAAACTTTCCTTCATGACCATTAGGAGTGAATAAATATTCGATTTGATAAGAAAATCTGGATCTCTACCTAAACTTGTCGCCACATTTACAATATCAATCATATTCTTAATGATGGTAGTATAGAAATCGAGAGCTACCTTCGCCACTGGAAATTTCAATGTTGAAATATTGTAACGATGAGCAGAGAGTATATGAAACGATGCATCAATCATATCGAGAGTTGGTTCAACTTTTTGTTTGGCAATTGTTTCGTCTTTTGCATAGGTAAAATAATCAATAATCCCCTTTTTTGTCGCATTCCAATTCAGTAATTGTAAATCTGTTGCATTTCGTTGTAAATCAAGCTCAGTAGTAAATGAGGTACCTTTCGAACCTAAATATAAAGAAGAAGAACCTCTTTCTTTTTGAATTTCATGAATAATATCCGAAATACCAGTTGTGAATATGGTAAGAAGAGTGTTGGCATCAGATTCTTTCACTCTCTTTCATCAAATTCAGTTTCGAATAATTACAATAAGAAACTTACCAAAACTGAATAATTAATTAAAATTCCTTCAAATACTATCATACAAGCTAAAGAAAAGATAAAAATCAGAAGTAATTTGATAGAAAGTGGAATCTTTGCCAATATTTTTGATAAAGTCCACTTTCTTGCTTCCTTTTTCGAGACAACACTATACGAAATGTTAGAAGAAATACTGGAAGAAACTCCCATCATATTCTTTTCATATGAAGACCTAGACCCTGTATCCATTGTTCCTTCCTCAAGTGTTGTCAAATAATCTCCCTTCATATCATTTTCCTCAGCTTGTTTCGAATAAGTACTTAGTGAACTAACTGATTTCTCCTTTTGCAATAAACTAATTTCCTTAGAACTTCTCAATGAATTCATTGTTGAACCTTGTTTTAGAAGAAAGTTGGTGTTGAGTGTTTTTTGAGTTCGAACCGAAACTAAACTTGGTTTACTCGCACTAGAACTCATGGCACCTAGATTAAGAGGAGTAATTTGATTTCGTTTAGGAGGATTACTTTCAGGTCGAGAAACATGATGCTGATGAAGAAATAAATCTTCTGACTTGTTAGAAACTTTAGACGAATCGCCTACTATTGTATTCCTATCGTGCTGTTCTTCGTTCATTATTGAGGAAAGTCTTTGATGTTGTATGGATGATGTTTCGTCTATTGAATTCGAAAGTAATTCATCAGTTGTAGCACGGTGATGGTGTTCATGCGGAGAAGATGAATTACTACTACTACCGGAAGAAGATGTATGTTGCTTATACTTGTCAGACATGCTATAGTCAATTTTTCAAAGAACTCATGCACAGCTGTTTCGAATGAAATGTTTTTTTAAGAGATACTTAAAGTATAGTTCTCTAAGATTCGGTTAATTGTTGGTGAAAACGTAAAAGAACTGAATCATATTCTTAATGTTTTATGAGAGAGAAACTTCAACGAATCAACCCTTGGATAGAATAATCGAAACAGATATCTCCTTCGCTTCCTATACATAATAAAGGAAAGAATTGTAATTTTTAGTAGTGACTACTACCGCTCTGCTCATCTTACGAATATTCAATCTAGAATTTCCCTCCAAAAAACATCACCCTCTCAAAACAAACCACACCAATTGACCATTCCAATCATTTATTTAAAATCAAGTCGATCTTCAAATGACCACATTGTATTGGCACTCAAAATTTCTTCCAATTTTGTTATTCTCATTTGAACTAAATAATCCTGCGAGTCAACTTCTTGAATTTGTTTCAGATAATCAAGTGCTTGAATTGGATTAAACAAATCCTTTTCATACATCATGGCAATGGATGCTTCGAATTTATCCTTATGTTTCTTCTTACTGTCAACTGAACCAAAAGATGGAGATTCTGTCAAAATTTCAAATATGGTGCATGATTGTTGTCTTCCAACAACTGCAATCTTTCCAATATTTCTGTATTTGGCATTGGATAAAAGTGGTGATGAATCAATTACATCTCTTGTTACCATAATGTCAACTCTGTAATGTTTAGTCAAAGATTCCAAACGAGCTGCCAAATTGACAGTATCTCCAATTATGGTTGGATCAACTCTTTGATCTTCACCAATCAATCCAACTGCACATTTTCCTCTTGCAATTCCAATTCCAACTCTAACTGTTGGATATTTCTTACTCTTATTGAATTCTAATAATCTTCTTTGTAATTCCATTGCTGCTAAAACAGATTGACCAGGAGTTAAAAACAATGCCAAAATACCATCACCCAAATACTTGTCAATATATCCACCATGTTCTCTCACAACTGGTCCAACCAATGACAAATAATTATTCAAAAACTCAAACGTCTCATCTGGTGTCATCTTTTCACAAATACTCGTATAACCTCTAATGTCAGCAAACAACACATCCAATTCCATTTCAAAGTAATCACCATGATTCAAATCCATGACGCTATCCTTTTGAACAATCGACATGAATTCCTTTGGAACAAACTTGTGAACTGTCTCATTGTGCAACCTTAACAAATCTTGAATAGTCCTTGAAAAGATTACAGCCAAAATGATAGAAGCAATTACAACACTGAAACCACCAACACAATAACCCATAAGAGAATCTTTGGCCGATGATTCAATACTTTGCGAGTTATTAAATATGCCATCTCTAATGTTATCTTCCACTACTTTTAATTCATCAATCTTGGTAGTCACATTCCAAAACCAATTCTCTGCAGAAAACACCGATTGGGCTTTTGTTAAATTGAATGGTGAAGACAACATGTATGATTCCATCATATCAACAACAGCGTTACTCTTTACATATCCAGTTAATTGTTGATAGTATCCAAGACTATCCCTGTTCCTCGATTTGGCATCAATGACCATGTACATGGTATCATATCTTGACTTTAAATATAAAAAGTTTACATAGAGATCATTGGTGAAAGCACCAGCAGCCACAGCATTACTACCAACAGCTCTTCTCTGACCTAAACTTTCCTTCATGACCATCAAGAGTGTATAGATGTTGGTCACGACGAGGAATTTACGATCTTCAGCCAAAGCAGCCAATACAGACACCACATCAATCATATTCTTAATGCAATTTGTGAAAAAATCCAATGCAGGTTTGGCCACTGGAAATTGTAAATTTGAAATCTTTTCTCTGTGAGAAGGCAGGACATTCAAATAGATATTCTCAATAATTTGAATAACTGTATACGTCTGATTCCTTGTAATTTCATCTTGTTCTATCAGTAAATCGAAAAATTCTGCAATAGAAGCCCTAGTTTCATTCCATTTAGAGAGGGCAAGGTTTGTGGCATTCCTCTGTGTAGCCAATTCAACCACAAACTTTTTACCTTTACCACCAAGAAAGAGTGATGAAGATCCACGTTCCTTTTGCAGTTCGTGGATGATTTGGGCAATATTGGTGGAGAAGGTCGTTAATTTCTGAATACTCTGTGCTTCAAGAACTCGCTATATAGAGTAAGGGCCAACACCATGTTATTGTTATTGTGGAAAATCAGAGTTGTAATGAAACATCAATAAGAAAAATTGACAAATACCCAATTAAGGGATGAAACATACCTTTGCAGAATCATTCACTAATATGGCTCCAAAAACCACAAGCGAAATGATTGATAAAATCACAATAAAGAAAAGTTTCACAGGAAGAGGAATCATGGCAACGAGTTTTGAAAAGCTTACTCTCTTCTTTCGTTGCTGGTTTCTACTGACGATAGAGTAAGAGACTACTGATGAGGATATCGATTTCTGCGTGATTGACGTTCTCATCTTTTCCATGTCATCAAATGGATCTGTCTTGGCAAGATTTTGAAGGTTATTATCAAAGTTTTTAGAACTGGTGATACTGGATAGGAGTGAGCTCTGCGTTTTAACTGCAACTGTCTTGGATTCCTTCTTTTGAGTAGAGTTGTTTTTATAGTGATGATTCGGTTTGGATGAATTCATGGGAGAAACCTTTGCCTTAGAAGAGAAGAATATTGAGGTACTTAAGGTATTTGTTGTATTCCTTGTTGATTCTTCTTGTTGTTGCTCTTCATCTTGTTGTTGTTCTTCTTCAATGGTTGTACTCTTTTGATACGAAGGAGCATTTCCTTCCTCACTATATGGTTTCTGAACGGGTGAGGGATCCTCTTCCAGAGTAGTAGTCCCACTCACAGTGTATCTATTCTCTCTATGTGAGAGATCCTGATGATGTTCCTCATGATGTTGATGCTGATGATTTGTCATTTGGTGTGAATTTGTTTTTTTCTGTTGTACCAAGAGATAGATGCAAACACAGCAAAACGCTCATTCACACTCCTTGTGACTTGGAAATATAGTAAAATTCGCAATGAAGCTGTTGCACACTGTAAGAGAATATTCAAATCCGTTTTTTCTGCTTCCCAACCCTTAATAAGATATTAAGATATAATTTTAGGTAGAAAACTCTAAAGGCCAATAATATAACCACCGAAATTTATAGTAATAACCTGATAGTGAACAATAAACGCGATAATTCTTCAAGTATTAATAGCTGTAATTGAATAGAGAGCTTTCATTAATTTGTTAAGTTGGTTCGTGGATTGGAAAAGGTAGTTTTTAAATTATCTGACCACAACCTCCGATAGTTTAGTTAAAACTTGGTAGATACCACATTGTATTCCCATTCATCCAGTTTGATGTTGTATCAAATGGCGATTCATGCAAGAATCGCTTTTTAATTTTGAACTACTTCTCCCTGAATCAATAAAGCAGTTTTACAAAAGAATCCCATGTCTATTTCTATCTTGGTGACATTGTTCGATTTGCATCTCGGTAACATTACCTTTCTAGTTGTGGCTATCTCTGATTCTATTAACAAACTTTCCAAGTCCATTACCTTAATGTAGATAGCATATTACTGACTATATTTGAAGTTTATCCGTCCTTCTTAATTATATTTCTAAGATTCTTTACTGTATTGAAAATGTACAATGAACCAGTTGATGATGCATTTGAATCAGTTCATTGACAAAATTGATTCGAATTGCATTGGGGAAATGTTGAACGTAAACTGTTAACCTTGTGAGTTGTTGCTTTCTGTTTGCACATTGTAAACAACAAACCAAAACCAGTTTTATCTGGAAAATGGAATTTTAAAAATCATAAAAAAAATGCCCCGAATTACCACAAGTGACAAAAAGCGACGATTGAACAACAAGCGATATGATGAGTTTAGTAAGAATTTAGCATTCGAACTGGCCGATAATTCCGAAGATGAAAAGGAAATTGCACAACAAGAAGCAAGTGTTGACCATGAAACTTTTAAACAACTTCATCCTGTACAGATTAGCCCAAAGGATGTTGATATGATCGTGAGTGCTGTGGTTAAAAAGGCTGATTGGAGAGTTAAATTGGGAGAATTAGAGCTCAAGTGGAGGCAGGAATGCTCAAGGCAGAATATTTCAGTAGCTAGTGCGAATGTTGCTTTTGAAATTCTACGTGACATTAATTTTCAAGGTTAGTTGTTGATTGGATTTTCAATTAATTTATTTGATAATTTTTTACATGTTTTAATGTCATCAAATTATTTAGGAAGTGGATCCAAACAATGTTGTGGTAAGTGTTGAAATAATTCTTGATAAGTTGTGACACATTGAAAAAAGGATGTTGTGGAGCTAATCCTCAATCAGAAAGAGAGGAAAGAGCATCAATCAGGAAGAATGACAAACCATACGTCCCAAGAGGTGTAGAAGATCACATCTCAGACGAAGAAGAAGAAGAAGATGAATACTTTGATTTCGAAAGGTACTCTAGAAGTACAAGATTTTGTGAGTGTCCTTGTGTACATTGCTCAACTAAACTTCCAAAATATAATGGGGCTATTGTTGCTGATAATTTAATTCCCAGCGATTTGAAACAGAGATTGAAAGATGAAATTGCAAAATTGGAGAATGTTCCAGAAGATAAGAAAGATTGGCATCCAGGAGCAAATAAGCAAGTATTGGACTTGATTCATCCTTCATTGTATTGTTATGTTGATAAGGTTAGTGTTTCTGAAAAGGAAATGGAACCTGAAGTTGAAAAAGAAAGACATTGGTATCAACCAAAACCAAGTTATGAAAAACCAAAATCCAATAGATGTCAATGGTTACCTGCTGAATTTGAAGTAACATATGATAGCAATGTTGGATTAGATGCTAAAGATGCTGAACCTACTGTGAAAATCAATAGCTATATCAATAATATCGATCAAATCAAACAACCAGAACTTTATGATGTTATTGGTAAAATATTTGGTAAATTCCACAAACAAATGAAACAGAGTCATCATTCTATTGGAAGGGCAGACACATTACAAGTCATTGTAAAAGCTGCCAATATTATTGTAACCCCAGATAAGCCATTTTACTCTGGAGGAACTTTCCATATGGAAGGAATGCCCTATGAACACATTGCTACAACTGGTATTTATTATTATCATTCAGAAAATGTAAAGAATAGTTATTTGGAGTTTAGATCTGGTATTTCAGAGCCATACGGATACCAACAAGACGATGTTAAAGGATGTTTCGAGCAATATGGACTTCATGATGGTGATTTACAATTCAGAAGTGAAGGAGCAATTCACACCAAGGAAGATAGATGTATCATTTTCAATAATACCGACCAACATAGAGTAAGACACTTTTTCCCTATTGATCCTTCGAAACCAGCCATTAGAAAGATACTCGTCTTTTTTATTGTGAATCCAAGGAATAGAATCATCTCTACACAAGATGTTGACGTGCAAAGATTTGATTTCCTTATTAATAGATGCTTTATTTTGAACAAATTACTCCCATTCCCAATCGTTCACACAATTGTACAATTTATGCCACACTTTACTCATGAGGAAGCTTTGAAAAATAGAGAAGAACTTATGAACCAGAGAAAGTACTATGTCGATGAGCAAAACTTGGAAATAGAAAGAGAATTTTCACTTTGTGAACATTAGATTTATTATAAAATCAATTGTTATATGCTAAAGTTAATAAAAGAACATTTAATTTTTGATGTTCCAAACTTTACTAAATATTAAGAAATGAGGTATTGAACAAGTTGTTCCACTCCTATCTGAAATCAATTGGAAGATGTGAAAGAAACAAGTAAAGTATAAACATGTTGACCATTTTTCATTTGAAAAAGTATTAAAATAATCTGAATTTTTTTGCAAGCCGTAGCAAGTGCCAATAAAAATGTGTACTAATCAGAGGCTTCTAAAAATGGAAATATACAATAGTTTAGAAAAATAAAAACACGATTATCAAGATAGAGATCCATACCACCAAAGAATAAAGAATAGTCGCCCAAAAATTAAAGGTATTCAATAAAATAGTAAAAGTATGACTCGAGTGCCGGGAATTGAACCCGGGTCGCCAGAGTGACAGTCTGGAATGCTACCACTATACCACACCCGATTTCACATATCGTTCACTAAAATATTTCTTTAAAATAAATAACAAAATAAATTTAATATTTACAATTTTTTAAAAAATTAAATATTGTTTCCGACATCAAGCTTACAAGTTGAGGACATGATTCTCTTCCAATTGCTTAATTTTAACCAATACAATCATTTTCAAAGAAACACTATCACTTCAATTAAAGATGTCTATTTACTGAGTAGTGCTGCTAAACACTTTTGTAAACAAACAAAACACCGAACAAAAAAAATTCCCTACAACGTCGAAATTTTTGTTGTCCATTTTTCTATCATCAAGAACAACACTCTTGTCGGCACCATCATATAAAAATTCATCATCATCATGTACGCTGCAGCACGTAGATTTACCTCTTCTTCAACTTTGGCATCAGTCTACAAGGCCCAATCTGCCAAGACTCTCTTTGCCAAGAATGCTAAATTTTCTCAACATAGCAACGCCAACAAGCAACTCATGTCTCAAGTTGGTATGGTCCAAAAGGCCTTCTCTCACGACGTAGAAATTAGCGTTAAATTTGTTTATGATGATCAAAACGTTGTTTTGGAATTGTTGAAGGAACACGGAGGAAAGGTTGAACAAACATCAAACATTAACGTTACATACTTTGATAATGTTCCACAAGATGAAGTCCTTCCAGAAGCTGCTGAAGTTGCCAAGGATAGACCACAAACACAAGAAAGATACACCATGACTGCCAAGGATTCTTGGTTGTTGAAGGAAAGTACACAAGATTCTATTGAATGGAAGTGTTCTTATCCAAATGTCGAAGAAGGAAAGACTCACTTGGATCAACCACTCACTGCAAGAGTTCCAATGTATCAAGAAGCTATTGGAGAAAGAGAAATTCGTAGATTTTTAAATTTACAACAAGATATGACTGCTGAAGCTAGAACTGGTACAAAGTTGCCATCTTTGGATGAAGATTTGCGAAAGAGATTAAGTATTGTCCCATTCGCCAAGATTGACTATACTGAAACTACTGTATCTGTATCACCATCTATTAATTATGCTAATATTAATGTCACTTTGAGAGATGCTTCTTTCGGATACAAATTGGGTACTCTTAAATGTAGTGTTCAAAATATTAGCAGAGAAATGGCTGATGATTTGGGTGTACATTTGTTGCGTTTGTTCGAATCCACTAAATTGAACAAGTTAATACAACCACACGCTAGATCTATTGTTGAAGAATACTTGTATAGAACTCGTCAAGGAACCCACTACAAGACTCTTTTGGAAGCTGGTATTCGTGATGATAAGCTTATGGATCCTGAAACTGCCAGAAATGAAATTAATGCCATGTTGGAAAAGCAAGGAAAGTCACCACTCGCTGAACCAGAAGAAAACTAAATTTCTCTCTCAGCAATAATTTTCACTGTGTAATTAAACCTAAAATATTTTATAAAAAAATGGGGCTGATACCTAATGTTAAATAGTCAATTTGTTGTTTGACAGGAAGTTAATTTGATTCATGACATTTCATCATTATGAAAATTAATTTCTATCATCATGTTATTCCAATCCGAGAATTATTTAATATTAGAATTTAACAATAAGAAGAAAAATGCCACTCCTTCAAATTAGTGAAGATGAAATGGATGAAATCAGAGCCTTCTATGAGCTCTTACTAACAGGGAGATGATGATGAAAAAACCGAGTTGGCAGTTAGTATTAAAATTCCAGGAGGTAAATCATTGTCAACCTCCAATCTAATAACCAATAGGAGAATGACTTCAACAGATATTCAAAGTCTCTTCCATAGAATTGGATTAAAAGTAACCTCCGATCAAATCAGAGAAATTATTAAGGGAGCACACGAATCCTACTATAGAAAGTCTGACAATTCACTCCCTAATGATTCAATCAATTTTAATGAATTTGTTCATCTCATCAATGATAAACCACCAGCCAATGTTTCTCGAGAGCAATTAATCACAGCCTTTAAAATCCTCTCAGAGAATGAGGAGGGAGAAACAGAGGGCTACATGTCCGTTGATGAATTGGAGAGGTACCTCACTCATTTTCACTACTGTACCGAGAAGCACTTTGAAGAGGAACAGGAAATGAATGATGAAGATGCCGAGTATTTGGAAAATAGTAATGTTAATACTTCCCTCAATTTGAAGCAAGTTAAAAAGGCTCGGAATTTCCTCACCGATCCTCAATATGATATGAGACCTTTCACTAAGAAGGACTTTCACAAATTGGTTGATATTTTAGATCCCTATTGTAGTGGACATATTAATTATTTGAAATATGTTAGCATGATGTATGATGGATTAATACAAGGTGAAGAAATTTCCGAGAGTAATAATAATAACACTAATAACAACACTAATAACACTAACAACACCAATATTCATCACCACCATAACCATAATGGAAAGTAATTATATCACCTCCATCTCTTTCATTACTGAACAGCAACCTGTTGTCCTAACGGGCTTATTGAATATATTGTGAGATACGAATTCAGCAAGAAATCAAAGAAGAATAACCCTGAACTGGATTGCATCACAATGATGAAAATACGTTAACTGATAATAATTGTCCGTTTAACAACATAAGAAGCAAGAAGAATCTGCTTTAAGGTCACCTTAGTCTTTATTAAGAAGATAACAAGTAAAAAAACAAACATCATCACCATTGCGTCGTTCATCATCATTGCTTGGAAAAATTGCTCTCAAGTCCTCTCTCACTGATAGAATAGATATGGAAATATAAGGACAATTCACCACATCAAATAGATCAAATTTTTATTATAATATATAATATTATTGAATACATAGAGAAAGTAGAGAAAATAGAATGAATAACTTTGTAACAGCTTTTCACTTAACTTCTATAGAGGATTTTAGTCCTATACAACGAGCTTACTTTCAAAACAATGGCGACCCGCAGCAACATCCACCTAATACACCTGACAATTCAACTACCACCTCTCACACCCCAATATCTGTACTCTCCTCAATTCCCTTCTATTCTTCGAAGGCCATTTCCAAGAATAATAGTGTTGCTCCTCTTCATGTATCAAATTATAGACCAACCACACCAAAGATTAGAAAACAAACTTCTCTAAGCTTTATAAGAAGTTCCAAGACCTTTGATGTTTCACATTTACAGCGAGTAAGAATCTCAACCAGCTCATCAACGAGTCCTCTCATTGAGGAACATGTAGAAAAACCGAAAATCACAACATCACTACAAAAGTCTATTGCAGCATCTTCGACTGTTCCCTATGCTGTGGTTACATCATGTGATACGAAGAGGATTAATCTTTCAAAATTAGTGGCAATGATTCCACTGCGAATCAAATTGTTCTTTATTGTCATTGTATCGATAGTTTCACTAGTGGCATTTGGTGCTATTCTTATTAATGATGCAGCAAAGGTATGTTTTTAAGCAATATATTAATTTGACAAGTTAATTATTTAACATTAATTGAACCTTTTTCAGAGAGTGGTGGAAACACAAAGTGTAAAACAATTAACGTTATTTTCAACAAATATGGCACAAATGATTCATGAATTACAAAAGGAGAGGGGTGCATCCTCTCTCTATCTAGGAGCTAGAGGGACTAAATTTGGTTTAGAGCTTGGAAAACAAAGAAATGTAACAAACTCAGCTATTGAAAATTGGCCATCAACAAAAAAGTCTATCGATGAGTTTTTCAATTTACTGACAGATAAGGATGATGTAGCTAGAAATCAAACTTATTCCATGGTGTCAAAAATTGATGAATATCTGGGTCAGCTGCCAAATCAGAGAGAAATGATTCAAAATTTACAATACAACTCATCCAAGCCAGTTATTGATTACTTTTCAGATTGTATTAGGGATATGATTGATGTAGTTTCAGTGGCTGCATCTTTGGCAGACGATAGAAAATTCCTAGTCATATCAAATATTTACACACTAGTCATGGCTTTAAAAGAAACATTGGGACAAAGAAGGGCCATTGGAAGTAATGCTATGGCCGCAAGCGCTTTCTCTAATGATTTTTTCTTTTCATTTCTTGATCTCAAATCTAAATATGTGGCCCTCTATCAGGTTATAGACACCAAGTCAAGAAATAAGGATTGTATTGAATTATTTACCGATTTGGCAAATTATGTACAAAATTCATCATTGATAGATATGATGGAAAGAAACATGTTATCCTCCCCTTTTAATTTATCACAGGCTGAACAATCATTTTCTGCTGAAATGTGGTTTTGGACCATTACTGAGAAAATTAACCAACTCAAAATGGTCGAGGACAAGATTAGAGATTCAATATTTTCAAATGGTGAGGACATGAAAAAAAGTTCCATGGATGCTTTGATTGGATATAGTGTTGGAGGTTTTTGTGTGGTTCTTTCCTCCATTATTTTAGCTTTAATCTTTTCAAGAACGATTCAAGACCTGATGAATCTGTACGATGAGACAGTTCACAAATTCGTTCCAAAGGAATTCATGTCGATTGTACATAAGGATAATGTTGTAGATTTAAAGCACGGAGATTACTTTGAAATGGAATTGGATGTCATGTTTGCTGATATTCGTGGTTATACAAGTATTTGTGAAAATATGACACCAGATGAGACGTTTGAGTTTTTGAATAATTATCTGTCATTGGTTGGACCAGTTGTGAGAGAACATGGTGGATATATTGACAAGTATTTGGGTGATGGTATTTTGGCATTATTTTTAACACCAGGTCAATCTGTTTTAGCTGCAATGGAATTACAAAGAAGGTTAATTTCTCTGAACCAATCTAAGAGGTATCCAACAGTAAAAGTTGGTATCGGTATTGCAAGAGGTAAATGTGCAGTTGGATTGATTGGAGAATCTCAGAGAGTTGATCCAACCATTATTGGAGATACTGTCAATTTGGCATCACGTCTTGAATCCCTTACAAAATATTACCAGGTGGATATTGTGGTAACAAGGGAAGTTATTGAAGCATCTCCACTGTTGGATCCATCAAGATTTAGAAATATTGGAAAAGTTGCAGTTGTTGGAAGACAACAGGCATGTTCAATTTATGAAATTATTACTCAATCTCCAAACAATGATAAGGAATTGAAGAAGGCTGTCACAAAAGAAAAGTTTGAGGCAGCTATTGAAATGATGTATGATAGGGATAATTTTTATCCAGATGAAGCTCTTGAATATCTCAAACAAGTTGTTGAAGAGGATGAAAATGACTATGTAGCTCAATTGAGAATGTACAAGCTGGAAGAAATTCTAAGTTCAGAATGCACTTGGCAGTATGAAGATCGATTAGATTTTAAATAAAAGTTAGTATTATTCCATTTTGTTTGTCAGAAACAAAAGCGAACCTTGTGGTTTTAGGTTCCCCTGCGCGTCAGCTGTTGGTGGTTACAACAGCTTTTGTCACCTGGCAGAACATTTGGATATAACCACAATACCAATTGTAGAACCTAGGAGGCGCATATACTACCTATTAATTTACTTCTTACCAATGCGAGCATAATTTGATGATTACAACATTTTGGTTTGCAAATAAAAAAATGGAAAATACTGACTATTATTTCAAGAGATAACTTTATGTAAATATTATTAATTGTTATTTCTAAAATTGTTGATATTTTGAGTTACAGATTCAATTTGATTGGCAAAGAAGAAATGTCCACAATCTCCATAAGCTACCAATTTAGAATTTGGAATGTTTTTGAAAGCATAAAACGCATTTTCATCAAAATCAACATTCTTATCATAGATAGAAGCAAGTATTTGAGTTGGAACTTTGATGGACGAAAGGTACTTCTTTCTGTCAGATGCCATGTTCAGAAATAGATACATATCGAAAAGGTATCCAATGGTTTTTCTTTGAGTGAAGGCAAAGTTCAAAAGGAAAACGTTATAAATATTGCGGTTTGTAAAGTTTTCGTCCATTTTTGGGAAACATTGGGATTGTAACTTGGTGGAATCAGAACTTACTCCAAAAACGAATAAAGTTAAAGAAGGTTTCATGGACAATATTCTATACAGAGCATAACTTCCCCATCTTAATAAATTTGGATACTTTTGGAAGGAGAAGAAAGGATCCCAAGAATATATACGAAAGCTTTCTTCAGACGAATCTCTATAACTTTCTTGATACCTCAATAATAAATCAGTAGCATTTTTCTTATCATAGATAAGATAAGGGTCATTGCCTTTTTCCAATTTAATTTCCAAATCTTTGAAACTTCTCGTAGTTTCTCCTCTAATAATAATCATGTTTCGAACAATTCCAACAATTAGATGGAGACTTGAAATTCGTGAAGGATTCATCTTGGCAATATGTAGAGCATAAGGTCCTCCTCCAGAAACTCCAATCACTGAAAAGTTTGCATTCTCACCCACCAAATGATTCATCAACGAAACCATCAATAAATTAGACGAATCCAAAATAAAGTCCAATGAAGGAATTTCACTCCCAGATTTCCCCTCCAATTCTAATATTTGTTGCAAATGGGAAATATTGGTAAAATCAAAGGTGTGATTGTTGAAAGTTTCTCCTCCCATATAGAAATTAATAATCTTTCGTTCAGTTTCTGAAAACTTTTCAAACATGGTTTTACAATATCCAATTCTAACAGGGCTAATCAGAACCCAATCAGATGGAATAGTAGTTGCAAATATTTTACCTTCTTCATATCCACTTGGAGATCCATGGCTATTGAGGAAGTTTCCCCAAGTTAGAATAATGTTTAGTAAATAATAAATCAACTTACAGATGAAGAAATACCTTCTTTGTAACATTCTTGTTCAATAAATGGCCATTAAGAATGTGATACTGAATAGTTCCATAATCTGATTGATAAACTATTGTTTCTGATTCTTCCATTTTTGGAATGTCAACATTCATTGTCTTGTTGTAATCATAAACCACAACAGAAACCAACAAGATAACCAAAAACCATATGAATTGACTTGTTTTCATTTTTTATTATTGTATTTAAAAACAGTTTTGACACATTTTGGGTTTTTAATTGGAGAAATCTTTCGAATAGTTTCAACGCGCAATACGCAAGAGTGCTTTTTTGTAAATTTTTCAACTAGACCCATTTTGAACACACACTGAAACCTTAAAGATTATTCACACACTTATCAAATAACACGATACTTTTCTAATAAGCTGCCAATTAAAACAATGAATAGAGACATTCTCACCATATTATTATTACCATTTCACTCTAACCATCACAAACTTCTTTCTATTGAGAATTGCTCACAAACGTGTCTGATATCTTTCTTGTCATCATCTCATCTGTATCGAATGAATTGAAAGAGAGTGCGCCTAATATGATGTTGTGTAACAACTCTTTTGTGTTGCACAACATTATTTGATGATCAGAAAATGGTTTATTTGTGACAACTTAAGAGAAATTCAATCGAATCAAAGAGCATTCAATAGATTTAGAGCATTCAATACTATTGAAAAGGAAGGCTTGCTCTGACAATGAACTTTCTGATAATAATTTTGTATATAATAGCTAGTAACTTATTAGAAACTGTGCTTAAAATTTTAATTTACCATTTTACGTGCATAGCTCACGGTAGGTATTGTAATATTCTTAATCGGCAGTATCTGAGGTTTTTGAAATCTAAATCCTGTTTCCAATAAAGATTTCGTTCATTTTAGGAACTTATTTAGAAAAGTGGATTCCAAGAAAATGAAGTTCTTCCATTATCGATTACCAATCATATCGAATAATGTAAAATGCAATTTTTTTATTAAGAAAACAGTCGTTTTATTACATATTATCAAACTATTCGAAAGGAATCATGTCATGATGATTTCTGTCGATTTTCGAATAATATTGATTCAGATAGAAACATGGAGGATTGTATGCTGAGAAGATGTCTTTCATCGCTGTCAATCCAAAGTGAAATCAGTCTAACTTTCATAGGAGATTCCGTTACTAAATCAAGGTTTCTGATAATCCAAACTATTCTCCAACTCTTCCAGTTCAAAGAAGAAGAAGGAGCTGAATACAAGACAAAGGAAATAGGAGCAATAAAATCGAATAAGAGTTATCATGTCGATGCTTTTTTTTAAAGAAGAACTATTCAATCTGAAAGTTGCCATTCTTGTTGTTGTGTTTTGAATATCTAACCAACAAATTAACATATTTAGAAAGATACCAAACATAACATGTAGATAAAAAACGGTCGAGCAATAACAATAATTCAATTTCTGTTAGACTCTACACCATGCAAATGAAGAAGATTGTGTTAAACCAAGAGTTCAAACTCTCAAAAGACGAGTTGGAGGAAATATTATAAAGGATATACGAACAATGAGATTAAGGCACAAAATTTGAATGATTTGCAATGGGAAGTTAATTGGACAACGACCACTGCATGTCATATTAAGGAGAATTTCATTATGAATGTAAGCAGCGATAGATCAGTTGGTTAGATCGTAAGCCTAACACGCTTAAGGTCGCGGGTTCAAGCCCCGCTCGCTGTATCCATTTAGTCTTTTTTCATTTATTGAGATTGACATTTAGCATCGATCTAAGGTTGAGCTTAAAAACTCAATATTTCCTCAAAATATTGTGAGAATTGTTTGGATTGAAGTGTGAAAAAGTTCTTTTTGCATCTTTGCTTAGCATGGAATGATCTATAATTCAACATTGAGTTACAGGTGTGAGAATAGGAGTTTTGAGAATGTGAAAGAATCCCAGTTTGTGATTTCTTTTTGTATTTAATGAACGGCATGGTGTATACTAATTCGAATGTGGGTTTGTTTTTGGGTTAAGTATCAAAATGAAATTATTCGACACCATTGATTCGAATCATTTGAAACGGAAAGAAGCTGTGCTCGGCAAGAACTTAAACAGAGATGTGAACAAAGTAAACATTTATTTCAGTTTCTAATAGTGTGGAGTATACATGAGAAGACACTTCCACTCAGGAAGTTAAATTAGTAAGGATTGAAATCAATCCATTCTTCATTGTATTTTTCTAGATTCAAAGATATTTCAAGCGTAAAATTGTAAATACAGTGAGTGCACTCACTCATAAAGTAATATATATTCGAAAGTGGTTTCTTGTTACAACCATTCAAGATCCATCCAACTCTCTTTTATCACTCCATCCAACACGCAATCAAATTCATCAAAATCAAAGAACGAAAACGAACTGAAAAGCAAGTGGAGCAGAAAGAGACAACTCTCTATTAAGAAGTCTATCATTTTGTTTTGTTTTGAATAAATTGAATGCGTGCTAGCCAGCTTTTCATATTTTGATGTTGTAGTATTTGGAAATTTCCTTTTTCATTTCATGAGTATTTCGCAATCTCAATTGTTGAGTTCGTTTGCGAATTGAGAAAGAGGATAATATGTGCGTTTATAACCAAATGCGTATGTGTATTAGACTTATCTCAAAACTCAAACCAGCAATTCAGTTTATAGATTTTCTTTCAACTGCAAAAGTGATGAGGCAAAAGTGATGAGGCAAAAGGTGTAGGAAGACAGGGAATCGAACCCTGATCTTAGGAACCACAATCCCATGTTCTACCACTGAACTATCTCCCTTCTTGCCATTATCTTTCAATATTCACTAACAGCACATACTTCAATAAAGTCAATCAAAAATTTATCCTATCAAAATCCTTAATTTAAACCTTCTTATTCCTCGTATAAGAAGGAACCTACAGAGAATCATCAGTGCACTCCACAAACTGCAACACATCAAAAAAAATGTCCAGCTCACCATCCAATATCAACAATACCACAACTCTCTCAACATCAGCACCACCAGCCACTACCACCACAACAGAAGTCGCTGCTGAGAGCATGGAACAATCCTCCCTTCGTTACTTGGGTTATTTGGGTCGTTTGAAGACTGCCATTGTTGCTGGAGCTCGTTATTTGGCCTACACTTCCGATGTTGGTATGTAACAAGTGATGATGTGTTATCTTTACTCATGAAACTCTATGATGATGATATATTTACCATTCATATTTGGATATGATACTAAATGCTACTATTTTCCCGACCTATTTTATTACTGTTTATTATTATACTTGGAATAATTTCATTATTTGATGATGAATATGAACAAATATTAAAATGATTATATTTATTAAAATAGGTGAGGCATTTAGACCAATTGTCCATCCATTGATTGTGAGAGCTGGTTATGGTATTTCATGGGCTTACGTTCTTGGTGATGTTGGTATTCAAACTTATAGAGAAAAGGAAAAGGGATCATCAACTAATACAGTTCTCAGAACTGCAACAAAGACGGCAATTTTCCAATCGACAGCTTCAATGATTTTGCCAATGATTACCATTCACCAAACTGTTCACGTTGTTTCTGCAATTTTGAAGAAGGTTGGATACAAATCAAAGGTTATTCCAACAATTTCAGGTTTGGCTGTTATTCCTGCATTGCCATTCATGTTCGATCACCCAGTTGAACATTTTGTTGATACTGTTTATGATAAGTATTGGCCTGTTGATGAAAAGGATTCACATGCTGAAAAGGAAAAGCAACATTAATGAAATTATTTATTGAACTCTTTAATTCTATTCGTCTAGTTCACTAATTGGCCAATCTTTTGGAGATCCTGTAATAAAAGGAGATGTAGAGGAGGCCGTATCATCAACAATTGCATGGAAATCATTCAAATTTAGACCAACCATATTTCTATTGGGTGTGACTGGATAATTTACATTCTTTGGAGGAGAAATAATTTGTGGAATTTCATCACTATTGGTCTTGACAAAGTCTAAATCTGATACTGAAATCATGACATCATCGGTGGTGAGAGTTGGTTGGAAACATTCAGCAAGTTTTGGAGCTTGAATTTGGGCTATGGTAGCTCCATTCTGTCTTTCATTCAGATATTGCAGAATTATATTCGTCTCTTGACTATCTTCATTCTTTAATCCATTTGGTGTCGAAACTCGATTTCTCTTCAAAAAACCGTGAGAAAGGAGTTTCTCTGCTGTTGGACGATTCTTTGATTTCAAACACTTTCTCAAAAATTCCTTCAAACTACTGTCACACCAACTAGGAATGACATCTTTGAGTCGTTCCCAATTTTCAGTCACTACCAAGATCATGGTATTAGCCTTGTATGTGGACGAGTCCATTCTCTGTTTCACACCTGAAATTAAATTGTAGGGATTTTCTCCTCCCAATAACAGTTGGAATACTGTCACACCAACACTCCAAATATCAATCGAGTAGTCAATAGTGATTGGCTTCACCTTGAAAATATCACCTGGCAAGTAGCATGTCGTTCCAAATGCTGCGCTAGTGACTGTTCCTTCATTCGATTCTCCAAAATCTGATAATTTAATACAATCCTGATTCTCAATTAAAATATTGTGAGCTATTATCAATATAACAATGAATTAAGAAAGTGGTAAATGAAAAATAACCTACGTTTGATATCGCAATGATAAATTCCACGATCATGTAAATGCTGTACAGCGAGAAGTAATTGACGTGTATAGAGGGCAATTCTTGATATTGACAGAGATCCCTTCTTTGTCTTCAAATGCTCAACTCTATTTCAATGTACATATTAATAACAATTTCTGATAGTTAATAAACTTACAAATCAAACAAGTTTCCTCCAGGCATGTATTGCAATTTCACAAAATACTTTCCATTTCCCTCCTTATATCCAAAATATTGAATGATATTCTGATGCATGATGGTATCTTTTTTGTAAGCTTCCAATTCTCTCTTAATCTTTTCAGTGTTGATTTCTTTCAGGGCAAAGAGTGATTTATCATTGTGATCGAGGCACAAATAGACAACACCGTATTGCCCCTTTCCCAATTCACCCAATCGAGTCCAATCCTCCATAACATATTCCATTGTAACAATGAATGGATCTTCATTGCTCTCATATGCATCATTGATCATTTGTTTGAATAAATCAGTGGTGGTTGCATAGAGCTCCTTTCCATTGAGAATGTACTTGAAACGGAGCTCTCTCATAGTGAGAATTCTGCCCTTAATAATATTATTATTGATGAAATTTCTCAAATCAAACTCTGTTGTTGAAGATGTGAACATGAATTTGTAACTCTTTTCCTTATTTTGATTGTCCTTGTATGAAATCAGCATGGTTTTTTCTCTCCTCTGAAGGAAACAATATCTAGCATGATCTATAATGTCGTTCTTTCTAATTCTTCGTTTGGTCAATTGGTTTATATCTACATCGTACCTCTTAATGATCACCTGCATTGCATCTTTGTTTTCACATTGAGCTGCAATTACTAAATATTCCAAAAAGAATGCCTTAAGTTCTGACTCTAAACTTTCCACTTGGTTGGATTGTAAATTTGAAAGCTGTTTCTCAATTTGGTCAATTTTGAATGCCTTCATATATTCGAGTGAAATGATGAATGATTCTCTTTCATACTCTGTTTGAATAAATCCTTTTTGAAGAATTTCATCTATTCTTCGTATCATTTCTTGTCGTTTGACATTTTCCGAAATGGTATCAAATCTGGAGAATTGTTCAATTTCTTTTGCTATGGATTGAGAACTCGAGTATGAATTTGGCAGTTTTCCATCACAATCCAAAGCATATTTGTTTGCTCCATTCATGAGTAAGAAATGAACAACTTGCTCGTTATTATGATGGCACGCCCAGTGGAGAGGAGTCTTTTTATAAATATGATGTGAGCTATTCATATCCGCTTTCATAAATAGAGAAACAATTTCCTTATCAGCATTCAATTCTGTTAATATTAAGAGTGGAGTTCTGTTTGCTTTTTTATCATTGGCTAAACGAGCTCTCTCACTCTCTCCAGTTCCTTTCGCCCTCACTGTTCTACAATCAATATAATCATTATAATTTACATCGTGATATCTCAATAGGAGAGATATTATCTTCTTGAAGGCATTAATATCCTTCTCATTTCTATTCTTTTCACATATTAATTCACAGCATACATGTATACACCTCTGTGTTGATATTGTTCCATAAACAAATTTTCACATTTCAATTTTGGAAAAAAACATACCATCTATATTTGAAATTATATTCGAAACAAAATTTCCAAAGAATATCAACTTACTCCTTGCTATTTATCAAAATTTCATTCTACTCCAATAATTTTCAATTACTTACATCATTATAATCCAAATCTCTTACTCCCAATTCCAATAATTTCTCCACCACTTCCCAATGTTTCGACTTGACAGCAAAAAACATTGGAGTTCTCCTTATCAAAATCATTTTTCACAAACAATCTCGTGTTGTACTTTTCCAATAATTGTAATACTGAAACATGTCCAAATTTACAAGCAATATGAATTGGATAAATAACATCAATCTTTTGACGAATGCTCTTATTAGTATCAGCTCCTTTTTGTATTAGAAACTCGACAATATCCAAAGCACCAACTGAACAAGCATAAGCCAATGGTGTATATTGCTACAATAAATTTTACAATAAATTTTCCATTCAAATCATAAATTCCAATAATTAAACAATTTTCAATCAAGAAATTACGATTTGATTTTCCAATGCAAATTTTATGAATCATCAAAATATTCCGAATTTCGTTTGATGATCAAATTTCATAAGAAACAAACCTCGTAAACTCCAATATCACTCGGGTGAGTATCTTCTAGTTTCGTCTTTCCACTTTGAATAAACTTTTTAACTGAATTCAAGTCCTTCTTTTCGATCGCATCAAAAATGTCATAATCCCGTGATGTGAGTTCGGTGCTTCGTGTGGGAGAACGAGCAATAGAATCAAAGATTGATGACATTTTTTTATAATATATTAAATATATTAAACATTAAATATAACATGTTTAATATTCATTCAATAATAATACTAATTCTTCAAACTTGTTCTGTTCCGATGATGATGATAAAAAGTTTAATCATCTAACAAGTTATTAAAAAATCTTATTTCATCAAAAGTTGTCAATCATCATATATTAAAAAAATAGTTTTTTCATCACCCGAAGATTTTGATCAAAAAACTCTCTTCGGATCAATCCAAATAATTATAATTTTATAATAATAACATCATGTTTCTCACCGAGTGGTATTATACACTAAAGTATGATAACGCTCTGAGGATTAAAACATCTGTCGTGTAGGTTTTTTAGAGTTTCAAAATTTGTGTGTTTAAAACCAACAACAATAATAATTTAGAGCGTTTTGTTTATTAGCCTTTTTGGATGCTGTAACTTCATTACCAATAGGATTGTATGGAATTATTGTTGGAGCCATTAATACACCGAATGAGGATGAAGAAATTGATAATTGTAATCATGGATTGTTGTTGAATATTTTGATTGCTTTGGGATTTATGGATTTGGTTAGTTTAACATTATATTTAATAATATTTACAATAATAATAATAATTAATTGATTGAATATATTAAATAGATTGGATCAGTACTTTCTCTGATATTTGGATCGATAATGGCAATTTTGACTTTTAATATTTTCACTGATGACAAGTATGATGAAAATTCGGAAAGTGTTAGATATTATGGAGAATTTGATCAAGCTCATGCTGAAAATACTGAAGAAATCGACGATCATGCCAGAACCACTTTGGAAATATTCAAAAATGATGACAAGACAGTTGCCAAATTCCATAACGCAACAATCTATGTTACTCTCACAAGAATTCTCTTTGGAACAGTCTTCTTTTTCCTCTCAATTGTTGGCTCCAATATGATTTTCGGTATGAACTCTTCCTGTAAAAACGATAATCCATTCCTCTATGAAATGTCTGCCACCTACATGATTGTTCGATGGGTAGTATTCATCTTCTCCTTCCTCTTATTTATTCCACTCTCTGTTCTTTTCTGTAGGCACATTCTCTCTTCCTCCTCATCAAAGTTAGTTAAATTTGTAAAGAACGCAACGAGTGATTGTTTCTCCATGATGATTAGTTCCATTTCGAACTTGATAGCAAAGTTGAAAGGTAATAATTCAGCACATCAACAAGCAGTTGATCAACACTACGACGATAATTTATAAATCCCACTAGTAGTAGAAAAGCGATGATCTGTTTATTAACCAACTTTTCATAACAAACCATCATGAAAAACCGTTTGAAAATGTCAAATAAGGGAAGCCTTTTGTTGACAGAATATTGGCTTGATATGAGGCAACCAATAAAATTGCCAATCAGCAAGCATAAGGTGACTCATGCCTTGTTCTTTGTCAATCAACGACTTGAACAAATTTCATAAAAAAAAATCCATTGACGGTTGACGTTGCATCACTTGTTGACTCTTCACACATAATCCCCTGCCCCAAAAACTGTTGTGTTCTCTCTACTACCACATCATTCCATTCGAAACAACAACAAATTATTGTACTCTACCAATATAACAAACGAATATATATTTAAAAAATAGGAATATATTACAAAAATGTCTTCCAGCAATGATGAAGAACCAACAATAACAACAACCCATGTCGAAGAGCAACAATCGTCATCTAGTGATAATTCGGATGGAAGTTCTGTTGCTGCTATTGTTGCCACTACTTCTGTTGATGCAACAATAACAACTTCTCCCGCCAATTCTATCGTAGTCGTGGAGGCCAAACAAAAAGCCACAACACCAACTCCTTCCACACCTCAACATCCACCTCCACAACATCACTCTACACCGTCCGATTCAACATCGAGTATTGGTACACCAGTTATTACATCGGCTGTGATTGAATCTGATGATGGCTTGTGGGTAACTGTCTATGATCCAACAACAAAGAGAAATTACTATCATAACAAGACTACCAATGAAACAACATGGAGTTTACCTATGAATCTTTCGTCACCTAATTTGGGTGCACATTTACGTAGTCAGAGTAGTATTGGTGAAGAAATTCAAAGAGTTGTTAGTACTAGTACACCAAGTGCTACTCCTAAAACTCCTGGAGGAAATCATGAGGCTTTGGTTCCTCAATCTGAAAAGGTTGACCGTACACGTCATTCAGGTGGACATCAACGTAGTTTATCTCAAGATGGCACTGTATCTAATTTAAAGAGCCGAGTTTCACATTTACACTCTATTCCTATCAATGTTAAAAAGGAACTTGATAATAATGATCCACCAATTATTGCCATGTCAATGGATGACCGTTCAGGATTATTTACCAGATCTCAGGCTAATAGTGATGATGAGGAAACACCAATTACTATTGAAGAAAATCCAACACCAAGACAATTGGATCATGGTCAAATTGTTTTTGCAACCACTCCAAATGTTGTTGCTGAACCACCTAAAACAACTCCAGTAACTACACCTTCTGCTTCTAACGAAGGAGAATTAGAGGATGGATGGGAAGCTACAATTGACCCATCTACTGGACGTACTTACTATTTCCATAGACAAACTCAAAAATCTTCTTGGGATAGACCTGTCAAAAAATCAGGAGCTTCTGTAGCTACAGTCTCTACTGCAACAGTTTCTACCCCTGTTGCTGCAGCTTCTACAACAATTTCCACACCAAGTGAATCACACGAACCAGAATCTGATTTGCTTCCTAGAATTGCACCAGGAGATCATACCTTGCTCAAATACGGAAAGGCCAATTTCCAAAAAATCAAGAAGGGTTTCTTCAAAACCTCAGTTAAGGTTGAAAAGTTGATTGAATTTTCAAAGGATAGATTAAATCAAACATTGCATCCAATCAAATTGGAGCAACATCAAGAAAAGGCTCTCAGATGTTTCGAACTTATTCAATTATTTATGGGAGATAGAAATTTGGAAAAGTGTTCTCCAACAGTCAAACAAATTGTCAAGTCTGGTACCAATGTTCATGATTTCTTCCTCTCTAAGGAAATTCTCCAAATTGCCCTTCTCAACGTTCCAATCAGAAATGAAATTGTAATCTACTTGTGCAAACAAACCAATAATCATGCCAAGATTGAAAATGCTCTTAAAGGTGTACAATTACTTGGTTTGATGCTCTCTGCATTCCCTCCAACTACATATGATTTGCAAGAGGCTGTATTATATTATTTACAAAAAACACTCGTTACCCACCCAAAAATTGGTCGTGATGATCGTATCAGACAATTCTCACTCCTCTGTGAAAAACACTTAAGAAGATCTTGTGTAACAGGTCCAAGAAAAACTCTTCCATCAGATAATGAAATCAAGAACATGTCTAATCCAAATCCACCAGAACCAATTTTCGGTGTTTCAATTTCAGAATATTGGAGATGGCAAAAGGACAAGTTCCCTAATGGGGACCAAGCCAAACCATTTATTCTTAACTTGTTGAGTGAAGCCCTTAAAAAGACTAATTTATATACTGTAGAAGGTATTTTCAGATTGCCTGGTGATGTTTCTCGTGTTGAAGGTCTTAAAGAAAAGCTCTGTAAATCCAACTTTGAAATTAACGAGAAGGATCCTCATGTATGTGCCTCCTTGTTCAAATTATGGTTGCGTGAATTGGCAGACCCTCTCATTCCTCATCGCCTCTATGAACATTGTGTCTCTGTTGCCAATGATGAAAAGCAATCAGCAGCTGTTTTAGATCAGTTACCAGCTGGTAATAGAGCTATCTTGGTATTTGTTTTGGACTTTTTATCTGACATGCTTCCTCATTCAAAGAAGACTATGATGACAAGCGAAAACTTGGCTGTTGTTTTCTGTCCAAACATTTTAAGATCACAATCATCAGATCCAATGGCTATCATGAGAAATGCTGCCTCAGAAAAACAATTCGTTCGTAATCTCATTCTCCACTGTGCTCACCAAAAGGGTATTGCAGAGAAATAAACAATTAAATAATATTATGATTTCTCATTTAATTACGAATGATTGGAAAAGATTTGGAAATGGGAACTTACAAATGTTAAATGAAGTCAGCGAAAGCAATGAAAAGAAAGAATTGTTTTCATTGCCTTCGCTGAATGGGCAATGAACTTAAATACTACTTTCGAACAAAGCAAACACAAACAACATTTAAAAAAATGAATCATCCAATCATCCACCTCACTATCAAGAAGCCAAATAACCAAAACTGGAACACTACAAAACTCTACGATCCACTCTTATTAAAATCTTTGGAATCTTTCAGGGAATTAACTGTTAGTGAATTTTATAGAGAACAGGTTGGTCAATCAAATGATTGTACTCTTGTGGTTAAGGTAAAGATGGAAGATGGTAATTATCAAACATTGAATGATGAATTGGATTGGGAGATAATTGTTAGAATTGTAAAGAATGGACAAACTTTACAATTTCAAGTGAAATTTAAACCCTCAAAGAAAGTTCACAAAAAGCAATTGAGGGAAATTCAACAACGTTTGAAAGAATTAGAGCAAGAAGTTCAACTCTTACACTTGAAAAAGAAGCTGATCGAGTTAAATTTTGCAAAATCTGAAGAGAAGCCTCAAGATCCAAGAGATAAACTATTGGAAAGCATCAGAATTGGAAAGGAACTCAAGGAAACTCCAACAACCACCAAAATTACAATATGTCCAAGAGAAATTCTCTTAAATAGCATCAAGGATCATCATTTCAATAATTCAGAACAAAATTGAAATTCCAATTATTTCCATTTATATTTGTAAGAAACTCTTTATTTGAAATTTATTTACATGAAAGTAACTTTTTATTTGATTGAAGTTTCAATTTCGAATTGATAAGAAAAAGAGAAACCAAAATTTGCATCAAGCTATTCAACATGTCAAATGTTCAATAAATATGAAGGTTCAACCTTATCATTATTTTCAACAAAACCTTACTGAACCAACAAGATTCTGTCTTCGTTGCCTTCACTGTTCATACAGTCAAAGACTGTAGCGGGATTGTCGCCATATTCCTGGCAGGCTTCCCGTCCAAATTTAATAATTGAATATGTTCATTAAACTAAACGAAATCAACTAATGTAATAATTGAATATTTCATAATTAAGATATCGAATTACTACTGTTGATTATACTATTTTTGAGGTTGTGGATGGCTACGGCCATATCACGATGAATGCACCTCATCCCGTCCGATTTGAGAAGTCCACATCAGTACTGTGGTTGGAGACAACTTGGGAACCTGTGGTGCTGTAGTCTTTTTATTTCTTTTCACTCATTACCTGTTGTTTGTTCGTAAAGATAATTCTCGATAATCATTTAATTTACATTTCTTTTTAATTGACTCAGAATCTTCTCAAATGATTCACAAAGTTTAGTGCTCTTTCATGGCCTTGATCAGCAGCTAAAAAGATATATTCGAATGCCTTATTGACATCTTTTTCAACTCCAAGACCTTGAAGTAACATTGTACCAACTGAATATTGAGCATCACTATATCCATGTTTTGCTGACATTTCAAGATATTTGAATGCCAATGGATAATCTTGATTACATCCATCTCCATAATAATACGAAGAGCCAACATAGTATTTGGCCATTTCGTGTCCATTTGTGGCAGCTTTCAAATACCAGTCGAATGCAATATTCTTATCCATTTTCACACCTACTCCAGTGTAGTAGGCATGTGCTAGATTGTACTGAGAGGCTGGTTCTTTGTTCTGAGCTTTCAAATACCATTTGACTCCTTCTTCTGGATTCTTCTCCACTCCAATGCCATTGCAATATGCGTATCCAACTTTGTGTTGTCCCATACCGTGTCCAAGATTGGCAGCTCTTAATTGACACTTGAAAGTTTCCTCAAGATTTTCACTCAATCCAAAATTTCCCATATAAGCATATCCAAGATTAAAAATTGAGCTAGCATCTCCAAATTCTGCTCCCATTCTCAAATATTTAACCATTTCAGTATAATTTTTCTTCTTATCATTCTTTCCATACAAGTAGGAAATGCTTTTTATCATTCCAAGTTCAGCAGCTTTGTTGTAATAGTACAAACTCTTCTCTTTATCAACTTGCACTTCAATTCCCTCTCTGTAATAATATCCAAGAGCGAAGAGAGATTCTGGATCGTCAAATTCAGCAGCTTTTCTGAAATATTCTAAAGATTTCTTCTTGTCAACCTCCAAAGATCCCTCTCCAAACGAATACATATCTCCAAGATTTCTCATTGCATAAATATTCCCCTTCTCAGCAGCAATTTCATAAGATCTGAAAGCTTGATCAGGATTTTTCGTCAAAACTAAATCAGCCAGCAACACCAATGTATCCGAATGTGTTAAAAATTGTGAAAACCAGTCGAGTATTTGCTTTTTAGTTTGGAAAATAACAGAAACTGTTATTGAATCTCCACAAATCATTGAAGATGAAAATTCTGTATATTCACCCTCCTCACCCAAACTCTGCAATATGTGATAAACCTTTTCATAATTAGTTTTAATTCCACCAATTCCTCTCGAATAGCATAGAATGGCCAATGTTTTTCCAATGGGATTGGACATTAATTCATCATCTAAAAGATAGTCAACTAATTGGACTGATTGTTTGCCGTGAATGGAGGTTTGTTCGATTTGATGATACCACTCGATGCATTTACTTTCGATTTGATCATCAAAACCTGTGAAGAGGGAGGTGTGTGATGGACAGGTTGATTCTTCCAGTTCAGACATTTTTTTTTGTGTAATTTCGAAATTGAAATTCGATGAAAATGTTGTTGTTGGCAATCTACTCAGGTTGTGAGGAGGCCATTGGATTTTGTTTTGTAAAAGGACTCAACATGGCGAATGTTCAAACTTGAGACACGTATATTTTAATGAAATAGAAATAAGATATTAAGGAGATTTTGACAATGAATGTAAGCAGCGATAGATCAGTTGGTTAGATCGTAAGCCTAACACGCTTAAGGTCGCGGGTTCAAGCCCCGCTCGCTGTATCCTTTTAGTGACATAAAACTCAACACACTCTTTTTTCTTTTATTGAGATTGACATTTAGCATCGATCTAAGGTTGAGCTTAAAGGTTGTACCCTTTTTTATTTACTATCTTTATGAACTTACCACTTATTCTTTTGTCCTTATTGAAATTGACATGTTATTTACATTAATGTACACTTTTTATGTTTATGATACTCTTCATTGTCCTTAATGTACTTTTTCAAATCTTCAATACTTCTCTTTGGGGTGAAATGTAAATTTGCCGTGTCTCTGAAAAGTGTGTCAACATTAATATTATTAATTGCACTTGTTTTTACAATATTGCCATAGCTGACCTGATACTTTTCAATCAATTCGTTCAATATTTTCAAAGCTTCATCTTCCTGATATTTGTCATTTAATTTGTCAATCTTATTGAGAGTGAATATTATTGGAAACATTTTCAAATCTACATTTCCTTCCATCAGATCCTTCAAATAATTTTCAATATTTCTAACAGATTCCAAATTATTGATATCACTCATTATTATGAAACATTGGGCTGATTTAAATGCCATTTGTCTAATAGCTTTATAATCATCACCTCCAGCTTTTCATCCACATTACATCAATCAACTTCCAATATACTTACCCATATAGAGAATATTCAATACAACATTAGCTCCATAGAGATTAATATCCTTTCTAAAAGAATCCTCAATCCTAGGATAATATTGAGGAAAATGACCATCCACAAATTGATAAATCAATGCTTTTCTTCCACTATCCCCATCACCACAAACAATAATTGTCATTTCATGATTTTCCTCTTTCTGGTGATGATGTTTATGATGATTATCATTATTAAGGCACATTTTCCTTCCAGAAGAATGAAACAACATCAATGCACATCTCCGTAACATATTCTTTTCAATTAATTCTTGTTTAAAATCCAATAATTGCTCACTCTCATACAACATTCCCGAAATTCTCTTAATATTATTCCACCAAAATGGTTCAAAATAATTGGAAATTTGATTGGATCGATATGTAGTAGCACATATTGTTTGTAAGGAAAGAACATCCCTCATTATTTGCTCATGTTCCTTCCCATCCAACTTTACATATCGGAAAATGAGCAATAGAATTTCTGAAGGCAATTGATGCATTTTTTTATGAAGGAATTATAAGTTTCATTGGATTTACAAATCATCATCAAGCATTAAGGATGAACTAAATTTTGAATTGGTTTGATTACAAAATAATTATGATATTCTTTGATTTTCTTACAAGATCAAAGATTGTCTCATCTATAAATAAAATAATCAATATCCTTCTTCTCCTACAAATTTGATTTTGAATTTCAAGGTCTGAATTTACCAACTATCACACAATACTAATCCATGCCACTTCAACTTTGTAAATCAATTTCCTTAAATGTATTTAGAGCCCGCCACGTAGTACATTCAATTCTCCATCCAGAAAAAAAATGCTCAACTCATCTACAGCCACTCGTTTTGTTGCCTCTTCCATTCAAAAGCTTAACAAAGCAGGCTATTCTGCTTCTGTTGCTTCACACCAAGCGCTCACCACCACCATCATGATACAACAACAATCGGGAAGGGAATTGGGAAGAAATTTTACAACAACACTTTGTAATACAAATCCTAATACAACACCTGCTGCTAATACTACTACTGCTGCTAATACTATTAATGGTGAACAAGGAAAGTGTCCTTATCATCACGATCAAAAGGTGAATCAGCCAGTAAAATCGTGGTCTGAAGTTCCTGGACCAAAGGGATATCCAATTGTTGGTAATGCTATGGATTTTCAAAAGAATGCTTCAAATCTTTCAGATTTTCTCATGTCCTTGTGTAATGAATATGGAGACATGGTTAAATTGAATGTTTTCAAGTTTAAAATGCTGGTTCTTGCCAATCCATACCTTTTGGCTGATATGTTTAAAAGGGAGGAAAAAAGATCAAATCTTGACAGTTTCAGATATTACAAACTCCAGAGAAATCAAATTCTCACTCCTGTTGAAATGAAATTTGAAGAAGATTGGAATTCAATGCGTCAACTTTACAACATTGCCATGAAGCCAGAATTCCAAGAAACTGTTACCATTCCCCAATTATCTGAATTGAATGGAGAATTTATCAGAAGATTGATAAATAATTTGCAATCTGTTCCAGAAAGTGAAATGTACAAATATGTAAATAGCTCTGACACAAATTCTAGATATGCCTTTGATGTTGTAATGAAAGTTTTCCTTGTAAGTTGTCAATTAGTTCACAAATTTCAAACAATTTATTTAGGGTGTGAAAATTACAGATGAATTAGCAAGCTCTCTTCCATTTGACATTCGTGAATTTGTAAATTATTCAGTTAAAGCTACTGATGCTGCTGTTCGTTTAGATTCTAAATTTCCAATGTATAAATATTTCAAAACCAAAGAGTATGAAAGCTTTGAAAAATTGATGGATAAATCAACAGAATATGCAAAATATTGCATTCAAAGATTCAAAACAAATCCATCACAAAATCCAAGATTATTAGAATTGATGCAAGAAAGAGCTAAAGAGCTTGATAGACCAGATGAGAGAATTGAAAGTGTATTGATACAATTTTTACAAGCTGGTGTTGATGTTACTGTCAAAATGTTGAACCATTGTTATCATAGATTAGCTCATCATCCTGAACTTCAACAGAAGATTTATGAGGAATCAGTTGCAGTATTTGGAGAACCATCTATGGAAGAATTGACATCTGAAAATGGCCTTTCTCTTACTATGGAACAATACAAACAACTCAAATATACCAGAATCTTTATTGAAGAGGTTTTGAGATTGGATTTATTCACTCACCTCGCCAGTGGAAGACAATTGACTCAGGATACTGAAATTGGAGGATACATGATTCCTAAGGATACATTAATTCTTGTACAACAAAAATGGGCCACCCTCAAAGACGAATACGTACCTCGTGGTGCAGAATTCATTCCAGAACGTCATGAGAAAGGATCTCCTCTTGCTCCTGTTAATAATTATGTTTCAATGCCGTAAGTGTTTGAGTGTTACTAAAATATTCTTATTATTTGAATAGATTTGGAGTTGGAGCTCGTAGATGTCCTGGAGCTCGTATAGCAACTACTGAAATTCATTTGGGAATCATCAATGCTGTTAGACATTTCGTACTATCAAACAATAATTTACCAAATTTCCCTCCATTCTCTCATGATGCTGCCTTACTTTTCATTGATTCTGACAAGTATCCACTTTATTTCACACCAAGAAGAGATCAAGTTAAGGACTTTGTTGAAAAGAAGGAAAAGAAATAATTTGTTTCATTTCGTATTGAATCATTATTAAATATTGATTGTGAAAGGACTACTCTTTTTGAACTTTTCTTAATCCCCCTAATCCTCCTTTAAGCATGGATGGACTGAGCATATTTCCCATTCTCATCGTTGATGGCTTGCTGTCAGTTGTTCCACTATTTGGTAGATTTGATTTTGAGATGTTTCTCTTTTCAATTTTTGAAATTACAATGCTGAGAATAATTAATTCCAAAAGTGAAAGTTTCTTATTCTCGAATACAGAATCATTACTTGCATTCCTATAGTTCGATACTGGTTGACAGACATTTTCGAGTGCTGTATTCATCCAATCCTCCTTTAACATTAAATCTAATTGTATCAATGAAGACATGTGATGATCTTCATTCTCATAGGATAATAGTACAATCTTATTATTTGGGAATGCCTTGATAAATTCCATAATTGGTCGAGGAACAGTCTTTTCTTCATATCCATAGGCAAATATCATTGCAGTCGAGCAGGAATTTAAATCCATCATTGAAGGAACAATCAAGGCACTTATTAAAACACAAGGTCCATTCCATATCAAATCCTTCATGAGTTTTCCAATGTACTTTCCTCCACGACTCGAACATAACAGAATATCTGGTTGATATTCTTTTATGGTCTTCTCAATCAGAGTAATACTATTCATAAACGATTCATCCTCTTCATAATCATCATTCGATGAAGTTGGTTCCGAAACCGTAACAATTTTCATATCAAGTGCTGCGAATAATTCATCATTAACTTCATTTGAATTATTTTCTAATAATATTGATCGGAATGAATTTAAATTTATTTCCTCCACCACCAATGATCGCCTATCCTTGTAGTATTTCAATAGGTGTTGTTTGAAAGAAAATCCAAGTCCCTTATCCAAGCATAATATTTTCATTTTTTTTTTTGATCTTTGTGTTCTCAGTTCCATGACTTCTCATTTCCAATAGTTAAATGAACTTTGAGAATGAACATTATGAAGTTGTCTGTGTTAAGTTTTTACATAATTTTATTTCAATTATAAACATGTGATTGTTATGTCAGAGTAAATGTTATTAGAATTAAAAATTTGTGTGAATCGATTTGATAATTGACATAGTAATTGATTTTTCGTGGATAGAATCTTTGAAATCACAATGAATGCCATGTTTCCTCCAGAATATGGTTCTATATTAACAATGAAATCATTCCAATTTTGATCACTATTCTTACACAGCAGTGAAAGTTTGAAAGGCATTGAATTAACTTGAACATTTGACTTGTAACTCAAAAAAAATATTGGCATTTCACCTTGGTGGTATGCTGTGAATGATTTGAATCTTGATTGACCATCTATTTCTTTTGTTATTATTATTGTTTGATTATATCCTGAACTAATTGAAGATATTGGAGTATTGGGGAATTGAAAGTTTTCATCCTCTTTCACAGTGCACTTTTGATTTCTTTTAATTTCTTAATAATATATTCTAATCAACTCAAATGTTTAAACTGAGATAAACTTACTGAGCTTGTAAAAATTATTCGATTGTGTCATGACCATAAAGTAATCTTTTTTCAGTGCAATGTGTTTCACTCTATTTGCTCTCTTGTTAAAATAGGGAATCAATAATAATGAAGCAGAACTCAAAACTCCATCTTCAATTGGTACATAGTACAATCTATTATCACTTTCACCATTTGAGATTGTTTGAAAAAACACCATTGTTGCAGTGCAATAAATTGATTCAATATTTCCATAAATAGAAATATCAAAATCCAACTCTTTAATTTCAAAGTTAATTTGATTGTAAATATATATATTATTTTCGTTAGTTAAAATTAATAGGGGTAACAGTAAGAAGCTACCATTTTTGAAATATTTAAATTCTCTAATTTTTCAATTCTATTGAAATTGTCCTGTGGAAGTCTAGAATCATTTCCAATCCAATAAACATCTCTTCTACCAGTATTCGAAACTGTTAGAAAATATGAAGAATTTGTTGAAGGAATAATATCCAACACATCCAATCCATTTTCCCTTAAAAAAGAATCAACCCTTTCCAATTGACCTCGCTTTCTAAACATCTTGTGTGTTACGCAAAATCCCCAAATTTCAAATTTTGATTTTTCATTCATTGCATCCTTGATCATAAATAAAGTATAGTTACTTGTTGGTATAATTTTCCAAATTATTGGTTGAGTGTGCTCGGAGCAAGAAAACAATTCTTGTTTAATATTGGTGAAGAGATTTGTTGGAGAGTGGAATGGTTTCGGGTAGGATGTTGTTTTTGTCATGAATAATAAGTGAAATAATTGTGTGGATTCAATTCGTACCATTTTTTTAAATCTATTAGTAAGTTCGTGGTCAACTGTGTGTGTAAATTGTAAACAAATTGCTTCAAAATCATCAACTCAGACAATAAATATGTGAAAATAATTTACTGTCTTGGCTCCTGTTCAAGAGATAAATTATACAAATCATCATCTGTATATCTTCCAGCCATGTAAATATTGCTCCATTTGGTTTTACAGTCGTGGAATGGATAATCGTATGGTTTCTTCTGATATTCTACAATTCTCTTAATAATCGAAGCAAGTTGATAGCGTTTGTTAATGTTGATTTTCCCATCCCTTTCATCTGGATTACCGTCCTCAAAGAATGTCAAATCAGACAATAAAATTCCCATAAATGGAAGACTTGGCAATTCGGCTTGTTTCATGGCATCTCTCAGTACCTTAGAGTTTGCACTTATGCTGACAAGTTTTTCCAATTCCTTATACTGAACCATTCTTTTTTGAGAAACTAATTCCCAAGATTTCTTCAATCTGTAAATACTGTTCGAAAGGAGAGACATCATGATTGCTCTCATACTGTGGAAATTGTTCAAATTTCTTAACACAAAGGCAATCTTGATAAACTTTTCAATTACTTTAGCTCTCTTCTTTGGTGTGTCAATGTTCAAAATTAAGAATGCCACATAGATTGCCAAATGGTTACTTCTCTCAATAAAATTGAAAATATTTGGTGCGTTTTTTCTTCTATTGGCATCACTCCATGCTTGATTGAGACATTCCTATAAATTTAACGAATCATTCATGTGTTAATTAAAAATCGATTAGTTTACAAACCTTTGGTTGGATTCTATTGAAAATTTCCATATCAATGACACACATTTGTCTTGCAATATTCATTGAACTGTCCATAAGTTGTTCCTCAGTATTGTCACTAATTGATAAGGAAGCGCTCGCAAATGACTCTGACTCTGATGTTGAATTGAAATTAAAGAGTTTCTTAAAGATAGATGTCTTGTTCTTACTCTTCTCCTCCTCCAATTGTCTCCTGAGAGCTTCGAGTTGTTGCTGCTGTCTCTGAAATTGTTGAGCTGAGAAGGTTTCTCTCTGTTTTCTCTTCATATTCCAACATTTTTGAATGATACTTGCTGCCTTTATCATTTTGCTGTTGGATATCACATCATTGATAAAGTGATGAGTTTCATTCTGTAATTCCAAATCCTTTCTGAAATTGTAGAAGAAATTATGAATCCAAGCATAGAGAATTTCACAAATTCTCAATCTAATTTCGAACAATTTCCTCTTCCACTCTTGGAAATCAACACAACCAACTGGAGGTGGTGTATTGAATCTACTCTTTAAAAATTTCAAAACCTCCATCGATGTTGTAAATGATTTGTAAGTTAATAGGAATGTAAATAGGAAATCTCCATCATTTTCATGTGGATCAGTTAAAAGTTGGAAGACCTTCTCCAATGTTGCATATTGTACTCCCTGTGTAATGCCCTTTCTTTCAATAACTTGACAAGTTTCTCCCAAATCTTGATATTGTGGCAATTCAGATATTGGTTCTGTATAGTATTCTTGCAATTCTTCCAAAGAATAGGTACTCTCCTCCAAATATTCTTGAATATTTTCTCGAATGGCTTGCATTTGCTTTTCTGTAAATGTTGGAATATCCAAAATTCTTCTCAACTGTTCCAACCAATACTTTTTCAAATTGGAATTCTCATTGGTTGTGAAAATTTCACTCTCACCTTCCAATTTCAAACAAAATGCATTGATAAAACTCGAATCATCTGCCAATCCCTTGACAGTCCAATCATATTGATCAAATCTAATAATTCTAAACTCTCTTCCTCCCATTGATGGATCTGTTTGTGTTAATTTTCCGATAAATAAGAATTTACTAAAGAGAAATGCTTTCACCTGAACAAACTTTTCATCCCCCAAATATCTACTCAAATTCGAAGGTCCCAATACGAAACGTAATTCATAATCTTTTTCCCATTCCATTTTTCCATCAATTTCTGCAGAGATAAATGATGGATATTCTTGCGAAATTAAACTAATCATTTCTTCTACTTTCGGATCCATCAATAAAGTGGACGATAATGTATCGTTTGGAGTTGTAGGAGAGGCAGGTGAGTTAATTTCTTCTAAAATGTCGTTTGACGATGTAGACATGAGGTTTCTGAAAGTATTTTGTTTTCTGTATTCCTTTCTTGTTGTATTCGAGTTTAAAAGATTAGTTCCCAACTTTATTTCACTTTCGGCTAAAGAGGCAGTCGAATGATGTGAAGGTTGATGACGTCCCCTCTGTGTTGTATCACTAGTGGTAGTGGTACAAGCAGTGTTACCATCACTTGGAGTGTTGTTGCTGCCCTTCAGTGAAGAAGTAGAACTTGTTCTTGGTAGTGTAATTTCTTGCATTTTTTTATGTTTGTTGAATAATAAAGGACGGATGACATTTTCAAATTACCTGAAGTTGCTATATTCGTCAGCTGTTTCACTCAAAATACTACAATCCCATTCAGAAGAGAATATAATTTCTGATATCTTGTTGGTAATATGTGACATTTTTACAAGGTATGTGAATGGTTTGGTTTGAAAGTTCAACTATCTCACAAACACCAAAATTTACAATCTCATTTACAGTTTCTTTTTACGAGTTTACAGTTTACCAAAACCAACTCTAAATTGGCTTAATTCAGACTTTAAAAACCAAAATATTCTTCCTATTGCGAAAGCCACAACTCCAACCCCTCGTGCCTCCTAACTACACATAATTCGCAACTACATAATGTCCAATTCATTTCCATCTCCTACCTCGACGATTCTTTCTTCGGATTGCGCCAACACAAAGTTCTCTCCAGTACAAAACACATCAGCAAGCTTGCATGAATTGGTTCAACACACTAAAAAAATGTCAACAAGCTCTGCTCCTCCTCAACAACAACAACAACAACAACGAGAAAAACAGCAAAAATTGGAATCTTCCTCCAAACCTGCTTCCACTGAACCTGCTTTACAATTAACCACTGGACCTGATTTAATAATTACAGAAAAGCAAATAGCTCAAGCATATCCATCACTTCCATTGTTGGAGAGACCTTTTGATATTGTGATTGTTTTGTTTTATTTAACATTTATATTGTCAACTGCATTCTTTGATTATCACAATGTGTTGGCTCCTGCTTTGGGTGTGACAGTTAGGGATTTAATTGACAAGGATATTGATAGGCCATTTAATTGGCCTCCTGCACAATTTACCAAGACAGCTTTTAGAATTTGGGGAGAATATATTGATCCAGTCATGATCACTAATCCATTGTTTTGGGAAATTATGGAATGGATTAATAATATTTTCTTGACACCTGCCAATATTATAATGTCAATGTCATTTGCTTTTGGATGGAGATCATTTAGAAGTCTTGGAATTGTACATGCTAGTGCATTGATGTACAGTTTATTTATTTGTATTGGTGTCGGAATGTATGGTGGTGAAGGAATTGAATGTAAGTTACAACTAGTCAATTAGCTCATTTTATTCAAATTAATCAAATTTTCAATATTTGAATTAATTTCTATATAGCCGTCAACAAATTCCATTTCTTGGTTGCCTATTCTCCATATATAACATTCCCAGTTATTGTCATTGCTAGATTGTGGCACAATTCTCCAAATGTCTTCTCACGGGAACACATTGCAAAGAAGAATTGGGTTGAAAAGGCACTTGCCATGATGTGGGCTTGTCATATTTTCTTCTTTGTTACATTCTGTTATCATTGGTTGTTGATTAACACACCATATGTTTTACCAAACTTTCCAAAATTCCCACTCGTTGGTGATTATCTTATGGAACTTGCCAAATTGGAAGGTCTTCATTAATTTTCTTTTGATAATTCATTCAAAGTTTTATTATTATTATTTATTGTACCACTATAGCTGACAAGTGAGTCTACTAGAAATAAACATTTCTCCTATTCGTGTTTTAATTTCATGTGTTTGAACAGTTTCAACTACTAACTAATTACTTGTTTAGCATCAAAGCTAAAATAGATATATTTGGATGTGGTGCATGTTAGAAACATTATATTTTCTAAAGACTATCGAATAGAAATTAATTTCGATGAAAGTTTCAGTGAAGATGGTTCATATGGAACATGACAATATGAGTTCAAAATCACTTGTCGAAACGATTGTTGGGAATCAAAATAATAGCAGACCTAGAAAAAAAATGCTATCCACTAATTGCCACTATTTCTCGCTGAAAGTGGTTTTGCTATCACTGTTCATTGTTGTTTTAACACTTTCGAATAACTTTGATTTCGTCTCTGGTGAAACTTTCAATGTTTATTCGTGGGGTTTAAATCTAGACGGACAAACAGGATTAGATTATCCAACACCAAACGGATTTACCTTTTCCTATTACACTCCTGTGGTTAACAATTACATGACTTCTATTTTATTCCAAAATTCGAATGCACTCTACGAAAGTATCTACAACATCCCAACAAAACCATCCGAAATACAAATTTCACTCAACTCTATTATTCCAGGTCTACAGTTCAACATGTATTGGCTAACTTTTACCAATTCGTCATCAGGCGAATCTGTTGATCAATTATTTTCGTGTGGAGACAATTCGAATAGTTGTGCTGGACTAAGAGGACCAAAGTTTACAACAGAATTACAAGTTTTATATGAATATTCATACATTTCTTTTAGAAGAGTTACAGAAGGAACCATTCCAAACAAGAGACTTCATTCTGTTGATTGTATGGGTTCATGTATTGCTTGTACGAAAGATGGCTTTGTTTATACGAAACCAGTGAATCAATATTTTTGGAATTCTGTTGAAATTCCATCTGGTTTGATAGATTCTCTTGGATTTAATGTTTCTAACAAGTGTGAAAAGGTTTCCATTGGTGGCACAACTTCAGATACATTTTTTGTAATGACACAATCAGGACATGTATTCTCGTGGGGTGATTACAATTATGGAATGAGAGGCTATGAAGATTTAGAAAATTCTGGAGCTTCCCCATATCTTGTTTCGTCTATTTTCGGTGCCTATGAAATTGGAGCTCTTAAAAATTATGATAATCCAGTTCCTGCTGGATTGGGAGTTTTGGCATTTCTGAACGAAACTGGATTGTTCGTTATTGGAAAGAATAGGTATGTGAAATATTCAATGAATATTGTGTATAACATTACATTAACATAGTTATGGATTATTTGGAATTCCACCTGATGACCTAATCAAATTAGTTCCATACATGTCAATTGACAGAGTAGCCATTGGTTCAAGACTTTTGAAAATATTTTTTGGTTATGCCACAATTTTGGCAACAACTGATAATGGAAGTGTTTATGCATTTGGAGGAAATAATTATGGACAAGTCAATGCAGATCTTACAGCATTTATTGATGATGTGAGGCAACTATATGGTGGACAAGCTACTGATTGTTCTTGTTCACGTCATGCTTGTGCTTGTAGAGTTGGTGTTAATATTGTGACCTGGGGAGATATGTCAGAAAGGGGAAGGATAGTAGGTAATGATTTTGATGTTCTTAGTTTTGGAGAAAGTATTTCTAAATTTGGTTTATTGGATAGAGGAGGTTTTGCTATTTCAGATAGTAATAAGTTCTATTCTTGGGGAAGCAATGATAATGGTTTCTTATGTTTGGGAGACAAGTTTATCCAAACAAAACCCAAGTTACTATTCACTGCCAATTACAATTTGAAGCAATTGGTGAGTGGAGACTCTTGTTCCTATTCTCTTGGAGAAAGTGGTGGAAATGCTGTTGTAAACATGTGGGGAAAGTGTACTAATGGTTTAGAATTTGGATTGACTCCTATTGGTTTAACATCTTTCTATAATTTGACATCTTTGGATAAGAGTGTCAATTTGCTAGATTTGAAATATTCTCAAATGTCCATGTATAGTTTGCATGCTGCTTTCCTTTCAGAAACTCCAAGAAAAACTTACACAATTGGATCAGCAGCTGACCACAGATTGGGAACTGAAGATTTAATTGATAGAAATGCCCTTTTCAATGTTGACACCCAAACCTTCCTCAATGATGAGATTATCCAAGTTTCTGCTGGTTTCGACCATACTCTTTACTTTACAAAGAATGGTTATTTAATGGGTTCTGGTAGTAATGAGTTTAAACAATTGGACTCAAGCAGTATTACTAATTTCACTTTGGTGAATATTAGTACCTCTGTTATCGAACAAGCTGGTGAACGAATTGTTCAAGTGGCTGCTGGAAAAAAGACAACCTTTGTCTTGACAGATGCTGGTAATGTTTGGGGAAAGGGATTGAACGACCAACAGCAAATTTATAATATGGTGTTTAGTCCACTGACAGAATTTGAGAAACTTGTAAAACCTGGTTCCCTCAATTTTACCAGATTGGCTGTTGGTAATGCTGCAATTATGTGTGAAAATGGAGGAAATGCATTTCAATTTATCAATGGTGGTATGACTGCTAGGTTACTCTATCCAGACAAGTGTCAGGATGTGTTTGCCAAAGATGACATTTATTACATTATTACAACAAATGGAAGGGTGTATTCTGTTGGATCTAATGAATATAATCAAATAGATACTGGATATGGATTGGATGCTACAACAACCATTCCAAACATGATCTTTTCTCCTTCAAAAATTGGTGGAATACCCAAAATGATATCTATTGGAAATGGATTTACAAGCGTGGGAGTTTTAGTTCCATCATTCACTTGCAATGGAAAGAATTTCAGTAACTCAACAGTTTGTAATGGAAGAGGATTTTGCTATGCACAAGATCAGTGCAGTTGTGAAACCAGTGGTTGGACAGGGTCAGATTGTCAAATACCGATTTGCCCAAACACTGAAAGTGGTCTACCATGTGATGGAAAAGGAACATGCATTGGTCCAAACGAATGCAAATGCAATACAGGATATTATGGAAGTAGATGTGAAACCTATTATTGCTTTGGAATTCAGCAGTTTTCATTTGGAAACTCTGCATTAAAACCATGCAACAATAGAGGTACCTGCATTGCACCAGACACTTGTCAATGTACTGATCCTAATTATTATGGAGATGCTTGTCAATTCAAAAAATGCTTTTCTGATAATGGAGCTAACTCAAAGAGGAATACATTTGCAGATCGATTGTGTAATGATATTAATGTGCAAATGTTGGATATTCCAAAGCCAAAATCAACTGGAGATATGAGTGGTCAACCTATTATCACATAATTTAATTTGAAATTCATTACAATTTGGATAATTACTTTCAAAAATAATAAATTGTACTAGCTGGCAAGTATATCTACTGGAAATAAACACCTTGTTTGCACTTTTCTCATTAGCATTCCTTTCAAAATCCTCAAATCCTTACAACCATTCTACTCCTTCTCATTTCTCTCAATAAAAAAACAAATAAAAATTGCTTGCCCAAAGGAATAAGAGTTTTATTTTTAGATTCTTATTGAAATTTTAATACAACAAAAAAATGACCAACGTACAACAAGTCTTGCCAGTTTATCAACAATTCAAGGATGCCTTTGATAGGAATGAATTGGAAAAGGCCGTGCAATTAGTGGCCCAATTAAAGGTTAGTATTTATAATAGAATGGAAGGAATATTCATGATTTTATGTTATTCTTGTGCTGATCAATGTGTTTGGAATGATATTTTGATCATTTGATGGATGTTTAATAATGATGATAATTGCTCACAACATACAACATTGACCAATATTTACAACAAAATGAATATTATTAATTCCATATAATAGAAACTCCTTGTTCAATTACCATCATTCCTTTCTATAACAGCTGGTTTACTCAATGACATTGTTCTCAACGAAGAAACAACACAAGAATTCCTTGTCATTAGAGAAGTTCTCGAACACGCTGTTATTTTAAGTGCCAAGACAAAAGATTTGGAATCATTTGAAAGAAATGTTAAACAAGTTAAAGCTTACTATGCCAATCAATTACCAGGAGTTCCAAAGAGTGCTCGTGAAGAATTAATTCTCGGATTGAATTTGTTGAGATTATTGGCACAAAATAGTATTGCCGAATTTCATACTGAATTGGAATTAATCCCTATCGATCTTCACAAGAAGAGCATGTACATTAAGCACGCCATCCAAATGGAATTATTCTTGATGGAAGGTTCATATACAAAATTGAGAAGCCTCCGAGACAAGGCTCCTGCACCAGAATATAGCTTATTTATGGACTTGATGATTGATACCATCAGAAAGGAAATTGCCGATTGTACAGAACTCTCCTATGAAAGAATTAGTTTGTCTGGCTTGCAAAAACTCTTGCTCTTCCAAAATGAACAAGAAGCTAGAAATTTCTCCTCTTCCAGAATGTCTTGGTCGATTGAAAATGACGAAGTTGTATTTGAAAAGACTGCTGAAACAAAGAAGGATACCAGTAGAGATATCATTACCAGAACCCTTTTCTATGCAAAGGACATGGAAAGAATTGTATAAAATATTATAAGAACTATCTCTTTAGTAAATTAATGTAATGTCTTTGTAAAACATTTCTCATTTTAATAATAATAAAATAATAAAAAATTATAATTTAGAATTTTCAATTATTTTAATTAAGATCAAAATATGTTTATTTTAACTATGTTAATTACTTTGAAAAATAAGCGGCATTGTACAATTGATCATACTCCAGAACACATCCAGATTTTCGTTTCTTGGTCCAAGTTGCAGTGTCAAAGAAAAAGTAGGTTCCCTTTTCAGCTTTGGCATTTTGTTGGAAATCATTTACACTTTGATCTCTAATGAGCCACAATTGAGTTGGTTTGTGATATTTCCATCCTCTCTTTGACAGCTCTCTTGCAGCTACAATTTGTAGCACATCACGTGGCATTGTGTAAAAGATATACAGCAGTGTTTCTTCTGTGAATTTGTCAACATGGAAGTCTTGTAACTGCACAGTAACCTTATAACATTCTGGTAATTTGTAATCAGGTATAACATTTGATGGAGGAACCTCAGCAAAGGGAGAAGCAAAATTCTGATACAAAAACTCCGAAGCATTCAAGTTTAATCCTAGAGAGGTAAGATCCAATCCAAGAGCAAGAGCAGTCAAATCCGAATCTTTAGAAGCAAATGTATTGCTCAAACCTAACAGACCAAACTTATCATCAGCAGTAGCAGTACGTTGTTGAATTGGTTGTTGTTGTTGTAAAGCTTGTTGTTGTTGAATTTGATAATACCTTTGTTCATATAGTAAAAACTCTTGTAAATGTTGTTCTATAGCGGAATTATCATAACCATTTTGTTGAGCAATATTTCTAACTTGTATCAGAGCTGCTTGTCTTTGTTGAGGATTAGCATTCAAAACATTTCTGAAAATGTTATGTTGAGGGAGTGGAGGAAGTTTTTGGTTCATTGATGGATATTGACCGAATTGTTGTTGTCCATTAATCATTGACAAGATGGATTCCGAAGGTCTATAGGAATCTCCTGTTGATGATGAAAGCAAATTTGATCCATTAGCGTTTGGTGTTGTCGATCTGTGAATCAATTGTTGTGTTGGAGATACACTTGTTGGTGGATATTTGTTTGTATTACCAACATTTGATGATACATTGTTTTGATTTCCTTGATTTTGGAAAATACCTTGGTTATTCATTTGGTTATTCATACCCGTTGATCCTCTAATGATATTATTATTAACTCCTTGTTGTGTACCTGTCATTGTATTCATGTTCATTCCACGGAAGGCATTACCATTTTGTCCCAAACCAGATGAAGCCATAAAACCCATTGGTGCTTGTTGATTTAAATTTCTACCCATCATATTATTTGCTCCAATAGAATTCATACCAACACCATTATTATTTAATGATGACCCAAATTGTTGTTGTTGTCCTAATCCATTTTGGGTCAGTGCATTCAAATAACCATTCACTTGCATTGATGATCCTCCTGATGATGGTACATTCATTAAATTATTAGTATTACCCAGGTTTTGATTTAATCCTTGAGAGGCAGAACTAGCATACGACGATGTATTTTTCATTTTTTTTAAAATGTATTTTTTTAAAGTTATAAAAATGAAAAAAAGTAAAAATAGCAAGAAATATCGAGAAAATGATAAATTGTCAATTTACGAAAGAATTACTTGGTCGACTAACAAGAATTATTCACTAATGAGAGGGAAACATTGTCGAGTCTCTTTTTATTGCATTTAAATGGCACACTTCTCATTGAACTCACTTTCAAAATTTCAAATTATCAAAATTTGTGAATCTCACACATTGCTTTCAAAAAGGTGGAGCAAAATTTGGGTTTTTACCACTTCTTGTAGAGATCAACTCTTCTCTTGTGGTTTCTTCTCTTACCACCTCTTCTCTTATGATTCTTTCTGAACTTTTTACCATAGGTATCAATTCTCTTCTTGTGGAATCTTCTCTTACCATGTCTCTTACCGTGTCTCTTGTTCTTTCTGAACTTTTTACCATAGGTATCGATTCTCTTTCTCTTATAAATATCAATTCTCTTCTTGTTGTGTCTTCTCTTTCCGTATCTCTTACCATGTCTTCTCTTATTAACTCTTTTACCATAAGTATCAAACTTCTTCTTGTAAATATCGACTCTTCTCTTCTTATGGTTACGTCTTCTCTTCTTTCCATAGGAATCAATGTACTTGTGAGGTCTTCTCTTGTGGAGGTGTCTCTTCTTGTGCTTTCTTACTCTTGGAATATAGGTTGAGAGAGTGGAAACACTTTGAGTTTCTTCTTCACCACGAACATTTCTAATGGTGAGAGCGAGGATTGTCAATGTTAAGGCAATCAATAGAATGGAAACTATTCTTTTCATTCTTGTTTTTTTTTCTTGTTGAATGATTGGAAGGAAGAGAGGGAATGAGTGAGATTTATAGTTCTTTGGGTGGGTAATGTGAAATGGTTGATCGACTTTTATGGAAAGAATGAAACTTGTCTACTTTCCATAAATGAAACATTTTTGACTTTGGAAAACTAACAAGAGAAAGAACTGTGTGGGTAATGACCGAGTTTAATGATCATCACTTTTGGGATTTTCAGTATAAATAGGGCATTCCTTATTCGAATCAATTGAGAAGATTCTTCAAAATATTCAAATGTTGTGTTCTATCCAAAAACAATGTACATGACGCACAACAGACCAATCAAAATCACAGAAAGTGCAACATTCAATACGTGATCAAAGTGATTCTTAATAGTTTCCTTAAATGATGTTTGTTGATTGTAAAACTCTCTTGCTGATTTCCATAATTGAGAATAATTCAACGTCAAATTTTCAGTCTTTTCAGGAGTGGATGATCCAGTTATATAAGAAATCAAGAATAAACAAATAATACTCAACAATGCCATACAAGCACTAAAATGCAAAAAGTTTGATCTGATAAATATTTGTACTAAAGTTCTAGACCAATCTGGAAGTTTGTAAATATCAAATGCATTACTATTGAACATGGCTTCCAAGAATAATCTCGATAATCCAATAGTATTTCCCAAAATTAAAGTGAATAAACTTCCATAATGGTTTGGTGTCTTTGAGAGAATTCCCATCAAGAAAATGACAGCAATTGGAGCTGCCAAATAGCCCATAACTTTGTGAGTGTAAATGTAAAGTTGTTTGGAGAGGACTTGAACGACTGGAATGAAACCAAGACCAACTACTGTAACAACAGCACCTGCAATCTTACCAACAATGACATATTCGGTATTTCTGTTTGGTAGTTCAGAAGTTGAATCTTCGGCAGCTTCTCTTGGAGTTGATGGAGAATCATTCATTGGATCCAATTCTCCCAAATCAGAAACTGAAGCAGATGGTTTAGTTTCATCCAATTGAATTTCAATTTCTTCTTCAATTCTTGGTTCATTCTTTTCTTCAATGACTTCGATATTAGATTCAGCATTCAATTTAACATTTTCAGCCAATTTCTTTCTATCAAAATACTCTCTCACTACTCTATACAAATCCATTGTAAACAAAGTACTCGATGAGTGGAAAATACTTGCTAAACTACTCATCAAGGCAGCCAAAATGGCAGCAATAATTAAACCCTTAACACCAACAGGAACCAACTTGTCAATTAAAAGAATGTAAGCCACATTAGGATCCTTTTCAACTTGAGGAATCAAAACTCTGGCAATCATTCCAGGAATAACCATTAAAAAGAATGGTAAAAATTTGAGGAAAGCTGCCAAGATACATCCTCGAATGGCATTAGCAAGATCTTTGGCAGCAAGTGCTCTTTGTACAATGGATTGATCTGTACACCAATACCTATTATTATTATTAAAAAATAAGAATATTCAATTATTACAATAAAAATTGTAAAATTTCAATAAATTCAAAACATACCACATTGAAGTCCAAGACATTCCCAAAAAGACTCCAGTCACTGGGAAATCATGATGCCAAGGGGGTTGAAACAAGTGTAACATACTGTCTGGGAGTTGTTCTTTCAGATGTGAATAGCCACCAACTTGAACCATTCCTTGTGCATAAACTAACAAGGCACCAATAACTAAAACACCAGTTTGCAAAACTTCAGTATAAATAACTGCACTCAATCCTCCCAAAACTGTATAAATACCTGTTGCTACGACCACTGCTGCAGCAGAAACCCAAATATTCCATCCTAAAAGTCTATTCGAAACCATTTCCAATAATTCTCAATAAATTCCACAACAATTTCAATTACTTACACTTGGAAAACCACAACACCAGCATAAATAGAAACACTAATCTTTGTCATGACATACATTACCAAAGATAACAAACTCAAATACATTCTGGAAGTTCTATCAAATCTCTTTTCAATAAATTCAGGTAATGTATAAACTTTAGTTTTCAAATAGAATGGAATAAACAACCATCCCAACACTAAAATCCAAACAGGTGAATACAATTCTGCCATGCCAACTGCCAATCCAATTGAAGCTCCACTCGATGACAGTCCAATAATATGTTCTGCTCCAATATTTGAGGCAAATAATGAACAAGCAATAGCAATGGCTCCAATATTACCATTGGCAAGGAAAAAGTCTTTGGAACTCTTCTTTTCTTCCTCTTGTTTTGTGTTATCTTCCTTGTTTTCAACAGACACCACTACTCCTTCGGAATTGTTTTGATCCAAAGCAGTACTAGAGCCACTAATACTTGTGGCCACATCATAGAGAGAATCCTTGGAAGGAATTGGTTGCATGGCCACATCACCATACGGATCATGTTCCTTTAAATGTTGTGGTATTTGCTGCTGATTAGACTTGAATTTAGATTGCAACCACCGATAGACTCTTTTGATATATGACCACAATGAAGAGTGCAATCCAACAATAATAACCAATATAAAGTAAATGACAATCACGGCAATATCCAATGGTTGAAGAGGTGAAGCACCCGATGATGTAGATGATGATGATGAACTTGTTGACATTCTTTTATTTAAATTGATGTATTTCAACAAGATATTATTATTACACTACTACTTTCAATATATTGTGTAGTTTTGAAGAGAGAGAATGTGTGATGATGAAATGTTGCTTCCTCTCTCGGGGTTTTGAAGGAGTGAACAAGGAGGATCCAATAGGTGGTCTGATGTAGCTCCTTTCTTTTGTGTTAGTACTTCCGTTCCATCCATCAAAATTGTTTGGATTTTCCAACTTCAAGTAATAATGGATTCTCACAGAGAAAACACTTCATCAAAATTATGAAAGAAGGTATTCCACATTTCGTCATCTTGTGTTGTTTCACCCTTTCTCTCTGATGTTGGATAACAGTTTTTACAATAAAGTTGTTTGTAAATAGTAGGAATCAATTTGTTGGAGAATGGAGAGGAAACTTGATGAAAACAATTCAAATTCTCTATCTGTGATACATGTCTTTTCGGAGGAATAGGAGGCCTTTTCTAAGAATTTCAAATATCTTTCACAATCTTCCTGTGAAAAACCAACTCTATCTCGAATATATTCAATGATTTGACGAGTGGTAATTCCCAATTGATTACAAGGTAAATCACAACTTAAACCAGCTGCTTGTTCAATGATTATGATTGAATGTTGAATGAATTGTTTGTAAGAAATTGGTTGAGTTTCTAATAGAGATTTACGTTCTTGAAGGAGAGCTTCATTGTCTCTTCTATTGTGAATGGTTGTGTATTCGTCGAGTCCATCATCATCAATGAATGACTGACTTGTTTTAAGGTGACTTTCCATAGCATCTGTTCTTCGTTTTGGTGTTAGAATTTGACTGGAAGAATTTGGTATCGCTTTGGGTTTTGGTGAATCTTGATTGCTTGTGGATTCTTCTGCTTTCCAATGCCATGAGTTTTTCAGATTGGCAGTGGTTGCTTGTTGGGTTGGTGTTCTAAAGTTGGGCATTGTGGCAGGAGAGCTAGGACTCGATAAGGCATATCTTGATTGAGTGTAAATTGAATCGAAACCATCAACTTGATGATGTTTCATATCTACTGCACTAAGTGTATTAATCACCTTTTCCTGAATGCCCCAAACGTACTTTGAAAACGATTGAGTCATTTCATATTCCTTCTTTGATCCGAAGGTTTTCCTTGGAGCATCCTTCTTTGAAGATGCTAGCTGCTTATTCATCATCATCTTTTGATTTTGAATCATCATTTGAATGTGATTGGTTTTTCCGACCTTTGCAATCTTAATTCCTCTATGGAGTCTTCTCTTACACAGCACAATGATAATGAAGAATAGACCAATCAGTACAATGAAGGGAACTACAATTAATACTACACCTGTTGTGTCGACCACCGAAATTGTTGTTTCTGTTGTTGCTGTTGTTTCTAGAGTAGTTTCATGTTGAAGAGTTTCATCATGTTCAAGTAAAATTGCTTCCATCTTAATATTTGAAATTAATTGTGATGATATATAGTATTAAATTAATACATGATTAAGATGATGATGAGATCGAGAGAGGGGTGAGATGTGAGTAAATAGTTGTGAAATTATTTTTTATCTTTTAAAAGTAAGATGATCTATAGATTATTTCGATTTATGGAATTGATTTAAAGGGAGGCCATATCATTATAGAATGCTCTAGTGAGAGAAATGGCTGGATTAATTGAAGATGGGGATGATGCAAGTTGGACGGCGGAAGGATCTGTAACTCTGTAGAAAGTATAGTTTGAGGAGGTATTCTTATTGGAGGAGGCATCAACAATGAGTTTCAATTCGTGTAATTCTCTCTTGAAATTTTGATAATAGCCATTGAGTGAGGTAGCCAACATGAATAATTTCAATTTGGCATCGAATAACAAGTATTCCTTTGTGCATGAGAAATAGGTTTGTAAGTATTGGAGATAGGCAAAGGCCAAACCACGTGACTTGTTTTCTTCAAAGACACGAGTGAGTTTGTCCTTATGAATGGCCTTAATAGCATATTGAGCGAAAATGATAAAGTAATTGACTGGAACACCTAAATCCATTTGAATACTTCTCAGTAAATCGTTACATTTCAACAAAAGCAAAACCTTACGATCGAGATCTCCCAAAACCTTAGCAATGTCCATAAAGTGCTTTTGACTGTATGCTAAGAGCTTATTCTTAGATTGTTTACGTTGATCTTCTTCTTGTTGATGTACAGTGTAGAGATTTTCATCAGCATCGTGAGCTCTGGCTGTCAGAATAACTTTGAGTAATTCAGAGAAGAGTGGACCATCTCCCTTTCTATCGGCAAGACCCAACTTTTTAGAGACAGTATTGAGCTCTTCTTCATTGTAGTCAACAATAGCTTTCCACAATCTACAGTACAAAATCTTGAAATCATTATCGAGTTGATGATAGAGGCCATGATCAATAATGACTAATTGTATAGCATTATTCCACGAATCCTTCTTTCTACTAACAATAATATTACCAGGGTGAGGGTCAGCATGGACAAATCCCTTAGAGAAGATTTGTTCACTGAAGGCATGGGAGAGGAGATAGCTGATATAACCTACATCAATATCGAGCCCCTTCTCCTTCATGGAATGAATATCTGTAACCTTGAATCCTTCAACAAATTCAATGGTGAGAACCTTATCAGTACAGTGAGTCCAATAAACAAATGGAGTTCTGACATGATCTTTGAGTCTTGGTACAGTTTCCAATTTTTTGCCTAACAAGTAGCAATTCTTTGCTTCATTTAAAAAGTTCAATTCAAATGGTAAATTCATCTCAAATTCATTACAAATCCATTGAAGTTTAGTGTCTTTGAATGCAAATTCAGCTGCAGCAATAAGTCTTTTCAAAAGTTTGGAATCTGCAGATAAACTTCCTTCCAAATCTGGATATTGAACTTTGAGGGCAACCTTTTTACCAGAGCCTTTCAAATAGGCAACATGAACTTGAGCTAAAGAACCAGCAGCTATTGGCTTTGATTCAATTTTAGAAAAGTATTCTTCATAGAGTGGATCAATAGCACCCTTTTCTAAAGTCTTGACACCTGTCAATTGTTCTCTGATAAATGATTCAATTATAGACCATGGTCTTGTTGGTGCCTTGTCTTGGCATGGCTTGAATCCATCAGTAAATTCTGGTGGTAAAACTTGATTTAATGAGGCAATATGTTGGCCAGCCTTGATGAAAACACCACCATTGGCCAAACATAATTGAACAAGTCTTTGAGCACTTCTTTTGTGAACTTCACTCTTGTGTTCCATAACTTGGTCCTCTGTGACACCTTCAACATTATTCATTGTGTTAAAATTCATCTTATAGTCCACAACAACAATACCGAGGGCAACAAATGATCTGATAATTTTGATGACAGATTCGATTTGATGTGGCATTGTAAAATGATATTGATAGAATGGTTGAGTGTGAGGAATATTTGATGATTCTCCTTCGTCAACATCACTCAACTCTTCATCAAGGAAAATAATATCCTTCACACTATAACCAATGAGAAGAATAGTAAAAGTAGAGAAGGCAATCCATACATAACCAACACGACGCACAGTTGGACTGAGTAATTGCTTCTTTTCTGTATGAGATGAAGAGTGTTTTTGATCAAAATTTTGTTTTTGATTGAATTTCCTAGATGTTGTTGAGTAATTTCTTCTTATTTCTGATTGAACAGAGGAGAGGAAGGCTTGTTTGTTGGACAAGAAACCATGTTGATTCTTTCCTTCCATCATTAATAATCGATTATCAACTCCAATCACATTACTATTAATATTCCGTGTTGAATTGGTGAGTGAACAAGCCGATTGCTTCACCCTCGTCAACAGGTGTTGTTTGTGTTGAGAGAAAAGCAGCGAAGAGGACTTGAACATTTTTTTAAGTGAATTTTATTGTGTTGCACATAGTGCGCTGCAGTAGGAACAAGTTCCCGACAAGACCGAAACGCAGGGGTTTTTTCGCTTACTTTTATTGTAGACATTATTTGGAAGAGATTGAGCAACCACAAAGCTGTACAGGTGAGATTTTAGTTTTTATACAAGATGTTTAAGGCCTGATAGATTGTCTTGCCTTATCTAAAACATCCTTCTTAATCTTTGGATAATTTGGATGTTTCAATAGAACTTTGTGACAAATATCAATGGCTTCAATGTTTCTCTTTGCTTTGAGAAGATTGAAAGCCAATTTGTATCCAACGTTTGGAGAAGATTCATTTGAAAGGAGCCATGCCTTGTCGTAGGAAGCAGCGGCTTCTTGGAATTGACCTTCCTTCTCGTAAATAAGACCGTTAAGTTCCCATGCCTTAGAGCAAGACTTATTAATTTCCAGAACCTTCTTTATAAGTTCCTGAGCTACATCGGTTTTGCTACTTGCAATATTAATCTCTGCAAGGAGAAGCCAACCTCTTTCAAAATCATCTTCCCATCCAGTTTTAACTTCCATCTTGGAGATTCTCTTTAACATTTGTCTAGCCTTAGCTGTTTGCTTACTCCTTTCAAAAGCATAAGAAATAGCAACTAGAGCAGGAACATAATCAGTCTCAACTGATAGAATGTCACCAAATGCAGGAATGGCCTTTTCAATTTCTTCCTTTGATTTACATTTAGCAATTTTAAGATAACCTTGGAGGGTCTTCTTCTTCATTGTTGATGTGTTCACAGTGGTGAGCTCTTCCAATAATCTCTCTGCAGCAGCGAGACTTTCTGAACGATTTTCGCTCGATAATCTCTTTGGCGCATTTTCATCGAGAGATTCTGTTGTGGTTTCTGGACTGAGGTAAGTTTCAATCATTAGAACTGTAGCACTTTCTCCCCATTCACCACTCTTACGAGCTCTGTTAAACCAAACAAGTGATTCTCTTGCATTGTTTCTGTACAAATGATAAATACCATTACAATAATTGTATCCAGGATCATATTCTTCCTTTGGTGAGAAGTTCTTGGCATTGATCAAGAATTGTTCAGCTTGTTCCAATCGACCAGCTCTTCTCAATAGAGTGATTAATTTCACCAAAGCTTTGTAGTTATTTGGCTTGTTTTGAAGGAATGCTTGGAAGTGTTCGATAGCATCTTCAAATTTGTTATTTCTGAACATGATATCAGCCATCATAATTGTAGCTTGTTCGTGAGCCTTATTCAGTCTCAACAAACTAGTGCAATAGCTGTGACAGCTCTCGATATCATTATCCTTCAATGACAACTCAGCTAGGGCAAGCATACTCTTCTCGTGAGTTTCATCGTATTGAAGACCTTCTCTGAAAAGAGCCATAGCTTTCTTGGTATCAGATCTCAAATGATATTCTCCCAATTCATAGCAAATCTTGGCAGTAATTTGTTTTTCTGAATAGAGAGTATCTTGTTGAGAGTTTTGTAATCTGGAAAGAATTTTAACTTGCATAGACTTTGCTTGCTCGAGATCTGTCATGGCAACTTTAAGATCACCCATCTTGCTGTGAACTTTGGACAACAACAAATAAATCTTAACATACATGGCCATACCACTAATGTGATTAAGTCTCTTATTATCAAGAACACCAATCGATTCCATTAGGACAGCTTCGGATTCTCTTGATTTTCTCAATTTCAAATATAATTGAGCAGTTTCATATCTTGCATCAGTGTTATTTGGATCCATCTCAATAGCATCCTTATAACAAGAGATGGCCTCATCGTAATTGTGCACAAGAACAAATGACTTTGCAATCTTATTTCTCAAAGCAAGATTCTTCTGATCAAGACTGAGAGCCTCTTGGTATGCTTCAATGGCTTTTTCTGGTTCTTGGATCTTCATGTAAGCATCACCAAGGCACAAATATCCAGATGCTGATTTGGTTGCCTTCTCAACTAGTTCTTCGTAACACTTGGCATAGGCTCTCTTATCGTTTCTGTTGAGGTAAATTCTAGCAATTTCAGATTTGGCCAACATGAAATAACCAGAATCTGCTGGAACAGATTGAAGGATTGAAATAGCGCTTTCAAAATCATTTCTGCTAATTGAAAGTCTTGCATTTGCAATAATGATACGACCTTCTTGTTCTGTTCTTTGGAACTTTTCGAGGGCCTGTTCAATGTACTTGGCAGCTTCAACATATTCGTTTCTTCTGGAGTGAATAGAGGAGAGTTCAAGGAAAATTGAAACCAATTCATCGTCACTGATCTTTCTTTGAGTGATTTCAGTTTTGAGAATTCTTTCAAGGTTTTGAATGGCATCTTTTGTTTCTCCCTTTGCTGCTAAAACCTTGGCCTTCAAGAGGTTGTAGTCACATTGCTTGGTTACTGAGAAATCATAACTGATAGCTCTTTCAAGTTCTGTTGTGGCGAGAGCATAGTTTTCTTGGTGGTGGGCAATTTGGGCCAACAAGATGTGGGCTTGCGAACTCTTATTGTCAAATTGTAAAACTCTGGATAAAATTCTTTGGGATGATTCAAAATCTCTCATAACAAACTTGGTCTTGGCCAAGAGTAATTGAGGAAGGATGAGACCAGAAACTTCTGCAGTAAGGAATGTCAAAATTCTTGAAGCAAGAACCAATTCTTCAGTTGGAGGATCAGTTGGATTTAAAGGCTCACTTGGACTCAGTCTCATCAATTCATTTACAACTTCAAGAATGAATTGCGCATTGAGAGCAGCATAGTATTCCAAGCCCTTCTTCTTGACTCTAATTTCCTTCTCGTGTAGTGAGAATACATCATTGAGAGATTTGGTAAAGTTTTCCGAATTCTTGTTACATCTTTGCTCGTATAAAGCTCCCAAGAATAAGAGTTCAGCTCTGCTTTCTGTTGTATCTTCTTGTACTTCATCTTCGTCGTCTTCCATCAATTCAATATCTCCAAGGAAATCCTTGTATTGAGTTGCGATTTCCTTCTTATTTTGAAGAATGAAACACTTATATAACCCCTTATTAGCTTCAATACTACTTTCATTGAGTTCCAATGCCTTTCTGAATGAGGTTTCCGAATTGATAAAATCTCTCATAGTCAATTGAATATAACCTTGAAGAATGAAATAGTCTGCCTCAATAGGATTTGCCTTCTTTGCCAAATTCAATAAATCGAGACATCTCTTCAGCAGTTCTTCCCTTCCTTCTGTCAGTGAGTAGAAGGTCTTAGCCAAAGTGAAGCATAATTTATCATTCTTGGATTCCTTCTTTGTAATTGATTTGAATAATTCGTTAAACTGGTTCACAAGATCCTCATATTGCGATCCTTTAACAAAATAGAATAATAAATTAATATACATGGCATCAACGTTGGAAGGATCTTGTTTTTGAATTCTCAGAGCTGTATCCCTGCATTGGTTCCAATCATCAATTTGCATTAATAATCCACATTTTTCAGTCAGAGCAGGAACGAAGTTTGGAAAACTTAAACTGACTTGACTGCAAATATCAATAGCCTGTTGAATCTTGTTTTGTTTTTCAGCATTGTAAACTTTTCCCATAAGAGCATCCACATTTTTAGGATCAAATTTAATACAAGCATCAAACAATTGTTCACAATCCACAAGTTCAATTTCCTCATCCATAACAGTCACCCAAGCTTTTACAGTATCCAAATTAGAGTAAGGGTCACGATATCTATCATCAATCTATTCATCATTTAACTTGGTTGGAATTAAAAATCAACTTACATCTTCCAATAAACTTCTTGCCTCATCAAATTCACTCATGTGCAAATACAACATGGCTGCTTGAAGTTTGGCAGAGTTTTGAGCTGATCCTTTTTCCATTTCAACAAAAGTCTTTAAATTTTCAATTTCTTGTTCATCTTGGTGAGCTGATTGTTCGTGAGCAAAAATCAAACCAATATACGCAGCTAATTGTACCTCCTTTCTTTCCTTAATCGTGTTGTATCCCTTTATTGCTTCAGTTAAATTTCCTTGCATACAATGACTATAAGAGTGCCACAATCTAATCACTGGATCTTCTCCTCTCGTGAGAAAAGTCTCACACATTTCCGTGATACTAGAGAAATACTTTTTCCTACAATTATAATTAATATATCCCTGAAGTTCTCCGACACTTGTGATTGTACTCCCCTTCAGAGCAGAGAGTGTTGTATTACCTTGCATGGCGCCCATACCAACAGATTGCCTCATCATTTTTTTTTAGCTTTAATTGTTCTGTCTTGGTTCAAAAATTGTACTTGGGTTTTGTATACTGATTTGGCGGGAAAATCTGCTATTGTTGAATACACTCATTTATTCAATTAACAACATTAGAGATTGGTCAAGAAAATGCACCAATTCATATTATCATACACAATCTTAAAGTGGTCTAAGAATGTCTGAGAAAATCAATAAGTTTATTCTAAAAGTCACTTCTTTTGAGTGGTGTTGGATCCTTCTTATCTTTCATTTGGTCAAAGGAACCTCCACCGAATAAATCTTCCTTCTTTCCTCTTTCTCCCAAATCAGATTGATAAACATCACCAATGGATTTATCTTCTTGGCTGCCTAGATTTGAATTCGATTGCAATTGTTGTTGCTTATCCTTCTTGTTTTTCGAATAATCTTGAGTGTTTTCCTTAACCCTGAGTTCGGATGGATTCATCTTTTTTGATTTGTTCTAAATCATTCGAAACTGGTTATCACATTATTAATAGATTATAAACAATTTGAGTATTCTTCCAAAAACAAAGTCTATAATTGTCCATTTCCATTCCAAACAATACTTTATTTAAAAAGTATAGGAATCAGATTGAGAAATTTCTGAAGCAAGATAGGATTGGCGATTGAAGGCTGAATCAGAAACAGAGAATTCTTTAGTTTCTGGATTGTAACCTGTGGCCAACACGTAATGTTCAGTCTTCTTTCCTTGTGGCTTTTTCAATTTCAAAATAACCAATCTTCCACTACAGACATTTTTGGCAGCAATACCAATGATATCGGTTGTTCTTCCAGAATATCTCACTCCAAATTTACCAATTGAGGACCAAACAAAGAGATTTCCACTTGCATATCCCTTATTATCCTTCAACCATTGATTTAAATCTCTTGGATTCATATTTGACTTTCCAATACCATTCAAACCAGCAGCAATGGCATTAAGCAAACAACCTGCTTGACAAATTGTCTTACTTGATGATCCGAGAGAAATACTTCCCCATTGAGAATCACATTGTTTAAAAACTGGGAACTGGGATGGTGTATATCCTGGATTACAAGTACTGGTTTGAGAAGTTGGTGGATTCTCAGTTGGTGTGGTTGGTGTTTCAGGTTGAGTTGGTGTATTTGGTGTTTCTGGTGTAGTTGGAGTTTTTGGAGTTTCAATAGTGTTCTTAATTTTTTTGTAAGTATTCTTAACCTTCTTGACAGTATTCTTGACCTTATTAACAGTGTTAGTGACCTTAGTGACAGTATTCTTAACCTTCTTGAATGTATCCTTAACCTTTGAGAAGAAACTCTTCTTCTTTTTCTTCTTCTTTTCTTGAACTGGTGGTTGAGGAGTGACTGGTGTAACAGGAGGTGTACTTGGTGTTTCTGGAGTGACTGGAACAGTAGGAACAGTTGGTGTTTCAGGTTGAGTTGGTGTAACAGGAGTAACAGGTGTAGTTGGTGGAGTTACTGGAACAGTTGGTGTTTCTGGTTGCTTTGGAGTTTCTGGAACAGTTGGTGGTGTAGTTGGAGTTTCAGGTTGAGTTGGAGTGGTTGGAGTTTCTGGTTGTTGAGATGGTTGTTGTGGACGAATTGGAGTTGGTGGTTGTCTATTGACAATAACTCTTCTTCTTCCTCTTCTTCTTTCCTCTGGCACTTCCAATTCGAAACTAATGTTCACATTTTGTGGTTGTTTGGAATTAGCAGCAGCAGCGGCACTTGAAGCAGCAGCACTAGCAGCAACAGGTTGTTGAACTACAATAGTTTGTGGTTGTTGAATGACAGGTTGTGGAACATTGACAACTATTTCTCTACCTGGAAAGGTGCATTTTGATGAGCATGATGAAGAACATTTAGATTTCCTTGTTTCCTTCTTCTTTCCAACAATCTTGACAATGATTTTATCCTTTCTCTTGTTGTTTTTTCTTTTTGATTTTTTACATTTCTTCTTGTTTCCAATAGTTTTAATGACAATCTTTCTCTCAGAAGAATGACGTTTCTTTCTTGATGAAGTTGATGATGCAAACAAATCATCGGTTAAGTAAACTTGTTGAATAGAATCATCATCATCATTGGTAGAAATTCTGACTCTCCTTCCGGAAGAAGAAGCCAAAACAACACTCAACAATAAACAAATCAACAATGTACCCAACAAGAGTGAAATCTTCATGTTGTTTTAATTTTTTCAAGATGAGGGAGTGAAATATGAAGGATAGCATTGTGAACAGAGTGACTCGATCTGAAAGAATATCAGGAAGGTCATGTCGAATCGTTTAATTTTGGAATACAAAATTGGAAGGTTAAAAAGTCAATGAGTATTATCATCACCACAGAATTTCTCATTTTCCTCCATAACTTTACTTTAAATATCAATATTGATATTTGCAAAATTGATTTATCATCACAATCATAGTGATGGTATTAATGTGCTATTATTATCTTCAACAGCGGGTTGAACATCACAATGATGATCGGTGCAAGTTCATATTGCAGAATAATCAAAACACAAAAAATTATCTAGAAAATTCTCTCTCGTGCAGGAACAATCGCAATAGCAGCACCCTGGTAGTGAATATTATAAATAATTAATTTGTTCTTGTTGTATTAATAATATAGTAAAATAGTAATATAAATATAATTGTAAAATTAGCTGATCATCATGAGTGACTTGGATAATATGTTTGGAGACTTGGAAATTGATGACTCAAACATTCCTGAACCTCCTCAAGTTGTTGAAGGGGAAAAGAAGGAAAAGAAACTTGTCTATAAGGATATGAATGCTCAGGGTATGAAGCAAATATTCGACAGAGAGGAATATAGTGATTTTAGAGTAATTCTACAACAAACAGGAAAGACTGTCTATGTATATAAGGGTATTTTAGCAGCTAGAAGTGAATTCTTCAAGGCGATCACTGAAGGAGGGTTCTCTGAAAAAACTGACAATGAATTAGTGGTGGATGATGAAAGTGAGGAAAAGGCTCTCCTTCCACTTCTTGAATTTTGTTATACAGGTGAAATTTCCATCCCAGAACACGAAGTTCTTGCATACTACTTTATTTCTGACAAGTATCAAGTTTTGTCTTTGAAATCAAAATGTTCCGATTTCTTAGTTGGTAATTTGAAACCAGAAAATGCTGTAGAAAACTTTGTAGAATATTACACTGCAGCAGAGAGAACAGCTGGAATTGCAGATGAGTTGACAGAAAAAATCATCAAGAGAAGTGTTTTGTACATTCTTAAAAACTTTTCTGTAATTTGTAAAAGTCCAGAAAAGAGACAAATCATGTTAAATATGGATTTTGAAATGTTGAACAGATGGTTGTCACCTTCTATTGAAGCAAAGGAATTGAGAGGTATCAATAGTGATCCATCTACTTTTTTGAGATTCATGTTGGAATGGGTTTCTCAAGATATTTCCACCAGAGGATCACATCTTCCTGAATTAGTTCAAATGGAAAAGAAGGTTGAATACGGAACTGTTTCAATCTTGAGAGATGATGGTGCTGAACTTCAATCCATTTATGGAGAACCAGAATTTATTTATGAAACATCTGCAACTGAGATTTCTGGAGCCAAAATTACCAAAAAGACAGCCAACTATTCAAGCATTTATGTCAATACAATGTTGGGCTATGGATCATCAACAGCTGTTATTAGATGGAAGGTCAAGATTGTGACATTCAATTCTTGGATTGGTATTGGTGTTGCTATGAGAGATGGTAAGTGTCAATAATTATTTTTGATGATTTAACTTTATTCTAGTTGTTGAAAAGAAGAAGCTCACATTCTCACCATATGATAAGCATGGTACTTATATGCTTAGTCAAAATGGTTATATTTGGAATCAATTCATGAAGGGATCTACTAAATATGAATCAGTTGGTTGCAGCTTTACAGTTGGTGATGTTGTGATTCTTGAATTGGTTTGCGCAAAGAAGGAATTGAACTTTTACAAGAATGATACAACAAACAAGCTTGCATCCTTTTCGAATATCAAACTCCCAGTTTATCCAAGCTTTATGCTTTGTGGTACAGAATGCATTGAGTTCAGTACGTAGTTTTTTTGTAATATTTTCAATTTTAACAATTCAATTTTAATTTTAAATATTTTCATACTATATTATATTAGATTGGGATCTCGAAGAGAGTGAATTTTAATTCATAAACAATTATTGCTGTTAAAAGAAAACTTCAATAAAATGTAATAATATTATTTATTTAAAAAATATTAAAATAAAAAATGATAACATCAACAGTGAAGAATCCAAACCGTTCCCAAATCCTCATCCTCTACAGAAAATTGCTCCGAACTGGCTATCAATGGCCAAGATGGGAAACATCAGCCGATAATGCTTTCATGGGAGATTATATTTTGGATAAAACAAAAAGAGAATTTAGAAAAAACATCTCAGCAGTAGAAACTGGACCACTCATGGAAAAGGCTAGAAAGGAATTGAGATTTTTACACACTCTCCAAGCCGACTATTTCAAGAAACAATTTGTGTTGAAGAGAAATTATGCCGAAGCTGCTGAAGAAATCAAGCATGATTAAATTATATTTTGAACATTTTTAGAGTTGTAGAATAGGAACACACAATATTGGATTTGTTCTATTAGTAATTATATAGTATTTGATGACAAAACAAATTTCGTTGAATATTTATATATTTCGGATTGGACTAACCAATTACATTGGAATTTTTGATTTGAATAAAATCATCATTTAGGAATTTAATAAGTTTGAAAATTATTGATTGTCAACCTTGATGAATAATTCCTTCAATTGGTCTTCTTCAACTTCTCCTGGAGCTTGTGTCATGATTTCATTTCCAGAACTAGATTTAGGGAAAGCAATAACATCTCTGAGAGTCTTGGCCTTATCTTCACCACACAACAAACAAATCAATCTATCAAAACCTAAAGCCAAACCACCATGAGGAGGAGCACCATAACTCAAAGCTTCAATAAGGTGACCAAATCTGACCATAGTTCTCTCTTCTCCGAGTTCCAAAACCTTTTCCAAAACATACTTTTGCATGTCAGCTTGATGGATACGAATAGAACCACCACCCAATTCAACACCATTCAAAACACAATCGTAGTGTTGACCACGAACCTTCAAAATGTCATTAACATCATCACTGTACAAGAGCGGAATATCTTCAGCATGTGGAGCAGTGAATGGATGGTGCATTGCGGAGAGACCTCGTGATGTGTGTAAGTGAGCTTGACCATGTTGATCTTTGGCTCTTTCGAAAAGTTGGAAATCAATAACCCACAAGAAACGATACTTTTCTTCAATGGTATTGAATTGATAGATACCTTGTTCGGTCATGTACTTGGCACATTGTTCTCTAACTCTACCCAATCCCTTAACAGTAGTTTCCCATTCCTTATCAACAGAGAGAATCAACATATCACCTTCCTTAAGATCCAATTGTTCTCTCAATTTAGCTTGTTGTTGTTCAGTGAGCTTTCCATTCAAGAATGGTTCTTCAGGCTTACCAATCTTGGTGGAAATGATGAGACGAGTCTTTTCAACACTCTTGGCCTTTTCAGTGAATTGGTCAATGATCTTTCTAGTCATTGTAGCACCAATTTGTTTAGCCTTAAGGGCATAAACGAAACCAGCATCAGCAACAGTTTGATTGACAATTTCAATTTGAGATTTTTCATTCTTGAAAATTTCAGTAACATTCTTAAACTTTAAATCTTCATATCTCAAATCTGGCTTGTCACTTCCGTACATCTAATTATAATGAATATTATAAGATGATGATTATTTGAAAAACTTACATCCATAGCATCTCTATATTTCATTTGTTGGAATGGAGTCTTGATATCAATTCCTAAAATATCCTTCCACAACATTTTGATGAAATTTTCAATGAGAGCATAAATATCCTTTTGAGTGAGGAAAGACATTTCAAGATCGATTTGGGTGAATTCTGGTTGTCTGTCCATTCTTCCTGATTCATCTCTGTAACATCTGGCAATTTGGAAATATCTATCCATACCACCAACCATGAGAAGTTGTTTGTATTGTTGTGGACTTTGAGTGAGAGCATAGAATTTACCCTTTTGCCTTGTTGGAACCAAGAATTCCCTGGCACCTTCTGGTGTTGATTTAAAGAGAGTTGGTGTTTCAATTTCCAAAAATCTATTCATTTCACCAAAGTATTTTCTAGTGATGGCAAGGGCCTTTGATCTAATTGACAAATTTTCAACCAATTGTCTTCTTCTCAAATCCAAATATCTATACTTGAGTCTGATTTCTTCTTCAGCATTAACCAATTGCAATGGCAAGGTCTTGGCCTTATTGAGAAGTAACAATTCAGTAGCTTCAATTTCATAGGCGCCAGTCTTCATGTTTGGATTCATCATCTCCGATGGACGTTTAGAGACAACACCACTCACAAAAACTACACTTTCATTCTTGATTTCATTATCCTTCAAATATTCAATCACTAATTTTCACATTTTCACACCAATGATGACACACAAATAAACAATTTACAACAGATTCTAAAAAACCTACATTCTTTCTTCTTCAACATGACTTGAACAACTCCACTCACGTCACGCACAGTAACAAAAACACATTCATTTTGATTGATAATACGAATATTTTCCACCCATCCATTCAACTTGACTTGTTTTCCAACAAGTTCATCACCAACAACTTCTCCACAATATTGATTTCTTTGATATGATTCTCCAAATGCAATTGTTTGATTCTCCGAACGAGCCTTGATAGATGAAGAAAAATTCATCATACATTCCTTGTTATTATTAAATGATGATAATGATTGATTGTTCTTCAATGTAGAGAGATTTGTAATTCCGGAAAAAACAGCCTTTGAATTTCTCTTTAAAAGATTCCTAGCTGAGGAGGCGGAGAGCAAAGCTTTGGTTTGGTTGCGAAGCATTTTTTTTCAATTTTGTTTTTTTAAATTCTCTCGCTAGGACCTTTTTTGGTTAATTCTACGATTTACTTTTATAATATTTATAATAATACAGTATTTAATATTTATAATTACATTTAATATTTATATTTAATACATATAATAATATTTAATATTAATAATAATACAGTATTTAATATTTAAAAAATTGTAAAATATTTAAAGAGTTAAAGGATAATCAAATTCACCCTTCTTAATCATATCGTACACTTGTTCTACATCCTTATCACCACGTCCACTCAAATTGACCACAACAATATCATCATCCTTCAATTGATTATTCTTGGCCATCTCAACCACATAGGCAAGAGCATGTGAACTTTCCAATGCAGGAATAATTCCCTCAGATTTTGACAATAACATGAATGCTTCCAATACTTGTTTCTTTGAAACTGTATAATATTCACATCTTCCAATTGATTTCAGATAGGAGTGAATTGAACCAACAGATGGATAGTCAAGACCAGCAGCAACTGAGTATGTTTTCTTTGGTTCTCCATTCTCATCGAGTAAACAGAGTGATTTAAAACCGTGGAGAATGTATGGAACACCTTCAGTGAGAGTTGGAGCTTCAATTGGTTCAATGCCAAGTAATCTGACTTTTTCATCTTCACCCTTTCTGAGATAGTGAGAGAATGCACCAATGGCATTGGATCCACCACCAACACAAGCAATTACCATGGTTGGGAGTTTGTTTTCTGCTTGGAGAATTTGTTGTCTTGATTCTTCTGAAATGACTGATTGGAAATGCTTGACCATATTTGGGAATGGACATGGTCCAACTGCAGAACCAAGTAAATAGAAAGTGTTTTCATAATTTTGAACCAAATCACCCAATGCTTCATCAACAGCATCTCTCAATCTTCCTTGTCCTTTTGTTACAGGAATAACCTTAGCTCCCAACATTTGCATTCTGAAAACATTCAAAGATTGTCTCCTACAATCCTCAGCTCCCATGTAAATGACACATTCTATATTGCCGAATAAAGCACAGACCGCAGCCACAGCAGATCCATGTTGTCCTGCACCTGTCTCTGCAATAATTCTCTTTGCTCCCATACGTTTTGCTAGGAGAATTTGTCCAATGCAATTATTAATTTTGTGAGAGCCCAAGTGAGCTGTATCTTCACGTTTGAGATAAATTTTGGCATTGGTTCCCAATTGCTTGGCAAAATTACGAGCAGGAGAAAGTGGAGTTGGACGACCTACGAAATCACGAAGTAAATCTCTAAATTCCTTATTGAACTCTTCATCATCCTTATATTTCAAAAATTCATCACGTAATCTCTCCAAAACCTTTTGCAATTGTGGAGGAACATGACAACCACCAAATTGGCATGATTCATCTTTAGTAATTCCATAAATTCCATTCATTTCATCATAATCATCAGCAATTATGCAATTTGGAACTGATCCATTCTTGGAAATTTGAACATCAACTTGTGAATTGGCAGTGGCAGACATTTTATATAGTAGTAGTAGTAATGAGTTGTTTTTTTACAAATTGTTCTGATAAAAAGTGTATCTCTTAGTGGGAGAATTAAAATGCACGACAATAAGAAATTGAATCTTCTTTGAAAAAATCTAATATGGAAAGAATCATTATTTTGATGACCATACAAGATGATTGTGTGATGTGAAAATAGATGATTCTCTACTGTTGAATGCATGACAACTTACTTTCGCTGTTTTTTTTAAATTGTGTTTTTATCCACAATGCTCTTTTACTGTTTCTTTAAATATTCACACACACGAACACGACAATAATTACGAGAGATAAAATCAAATACCACTATTACAATGAGAAGAATAGCATCAGTGAGAAAATGATGATGCATTTCACACTAAACAATTCTCCGTGAAATTGCAGCATGTTACTGATCAGGGGAAGAGTGTTTACAAAAAGATCTTCATTCTTAGAGGAATTTTTTAAACTCCTCAACTATTTGACTGTGTGGGAGTTTTTAGCTGATATTTTTCCTCTCGATAAAAATTGGAATGCTTTCCATAATTGGTTGAAATACTAGAATTGTGGCGTATGGTATTGAGGTAATTGTGGCGTTTTTAAACTCCTTTTGACCTCCTTACTTAGAGGAAATAAAGATTTTAATTTTTACAAATGGAGTTTGCTTATATATACAATAGTAAATTCATTTCTGCTGGTTATACAACTGGAGCAAGCAACTGGAGAAGAAAACGGTACTTTTCAAATCATGTTGAAAAGAATAAAAAGACTACAGCACCACAGGTTCCCAAGTTGTCTCCAACCTCAGTACTGATGTGGCTCGACGATGCTTAACTTCTCAAATCGGACGGGATGAGGTGCATTCATCGTGATATGGCCGTAGCCATCTACAACCTCAAAAATATTATGATCAACAGTAGCCATTCGATATCTTACTTCATAAATTTATTGATTTCGTTCGTTTAATGGATGTGTGTCAACTGGTTCTTATTAGCAATTGAGATGGTATTATTGCTAATAAGAATCATACATCTAATCATGGCAGAATACTTTTCAAGTTCAGTAGCTTTCCAATGATTGAATTTCTCAGTAAGAGCATTGAAATCACCACAATTATCAAATGAAGGACAGTATAATAGAAAGCTAGGAATCAGAATAGAATTGAGCTAATGAGCTGTCAATCAAGTATAAAAAAATGAATAATTTGGCAGGTGATGAGTTTTTTAACATCACAAACTTTCTTTTACTTCCTGAAATTCATAATTTGCAACTTTGTTGTAAATCTTTTTATGATTTGATTCAAAATTCCGACTTCTTGTGGAAAGAACAATTGGAATACTATTTCCGATATTCTTTGATTAGAGGTTTAGTTTTCTCTAGCCGATTGTGGTTTGGGGAGGAAAGCAATCCGAAAATAATAATGAAGATTTTAATATCTAATATTCCAAAGTGTAATTACAATGAGAGTAATACTGCAGAGTTTTCATACTCCATGTCATTATTCGAAAGTGGAGGAAATTTACATAATTCAGCCGAATTAATAATTTTATGTACAGTGCTTCGAGTTTTGAATATCAAACAGTTGGATCATGTCGTTCTCTACAAACAGACACTTTCATTGGAAACTATTGAAACTATTTCCATTCCATTAACTCAGTTTAGTTTCTTTTTATTGAACTCATGGAATTATTTACCTTATTTATTTAATAATTCGAATGATGAACAGAAAGTTGTTTATGGAATAGGTCATGAAGGAAAAGTTACCTGTTACTATTCGAAACTAATTCATCATTTACCTTGGATTGAAGATAATAGAGTGGAATGGCATTCATCCAACACTGCTGAAATACTTCCTGATTTAAAAAATCAATTAACAATAATTTCAACAATGATTGACAAGGAAGAAAAAACAGTATTTACAACGCTTTATAAATGAATTATATTTAAATATGAAATATAATCAAGTGGCTTGAGGTGTTGTAATTCATTGGTTTTTTGATTATTTGAGAAATACTTAAATTTTTGCTGACTTTACAACAGAGACTTTCTATTTCTTTAAATTTAGAATTTGAACCTTTTATTTGAATCTGCAAGTTTGCACATTTATCACGTTTCCAAAATTATTCAATTATCTTATTCAATCTAATCAACCAAAACTTAACAATACAAAAAAAAAATAGAATGATATTAATTTTAGATTCTCATCTTAATCTCGGTCCATTAAATACATTACTATCCAATACCTTCAAGGAAACTTCACAACAATCAATAATTGAGAGCAAGAGAATACAAGATAGATTCATCAAACAGTTTAGAAATTTTACTAAATATTTTAAACAATTCAACTCTATTGATTTATTATTCCAAGCAATAGTTGACAGGTCACTTGAAAAAAGATTTCCTTTCCCTCACGATTTTTACCCAATCATTAATTCGATTCTTCCAATTCCAAACATGTTTTATTGTAATAATTATTATCAGGAATGTGTACGGATTGATTTTATGCAATTTTTCTATTATACGAAAACAACAAAATTTGTTGAATTCCTTCAGGTGAAGGAAAATAATTTGAAAGAAGCTTTTGAGATGGTGGTTGGGTTTAGATCAAAGGATGTTATTGACTGTTGTAATCAAACAGAATTTCATGAGTTAGTAAAGATTGCATGTGAAATTTATCCGAATGTGCCAGAACTGCTTTCGAATAGAATTCTCAATGATGAAGCAATATTTTGGTTGTTGTGTTCAAACAGTGAGATTCTAATGGATGTTGGAGATGAACAATATTCAACAATAATGAATTTCCTTGAGGAACATGTTTCAACTATTTGTAAATTTATTGGAGATTGTGACAGCTTATCATTTGATTATGCTTGGATTGATTATGAACCAGAATGTCATTATTATAGTGCCAAAAGAGTATTAGATATTTTCATTAAAATACTTATCAGATGTGAAGAAAGAAATCCAATACTCGAGCTTGAACAAATTCAAAGAGAATTCAATTCCAGATTTGACAGAATTATGGGTATTGATAAGGAAAAGAGAGATGATGAATACCATTATGTTTTTGGTATGGGTCCAAGACCAAAGTATGATAGTGATGATTATATGGATGAAAGTGAAGACGAAATTGAGGAAGAAACAGAAGATGAAATGGAAGATGAATACCAAGATGAGAGTGAAGACTATTTAGAGGATAAATACGATATTAAACTTGTGTAGTAAATAGAATAAGAATAATTGTTCCTTAGTATCGTTCCTTAATTAAGTGAGGTGGCAAAAAATCCTCAACAATATCATAGTGATTCACATTACTACATTATCACAAATGTTCGGAAAGAGGGAGGACCACAATATTAATCAGCTTCAACCTAACCATGAAGAGAGGAGCTACGATGCATCTGAAGTAAAAATTGGAGATAGTGGTGTTTTGCTAGTGATACGTTGAAACAAGACAAAGAAATTGCAAAAAAAGTAATTAAGCAAAATCATTGGGCAATTGACATGGTAGATCAACGCACTCTAGCTGAGATAATTCATTAAGACAATTTCTTGGATGACTTGTCAAAACAAAACGGTATTGATTACTCCCATTTGAAACCAGAATATCCAAAAATTGATCACAGTGCCTACTCAAATTATCAATAAGTTTTCTGGGTTTCCAGTGAGATTCCGAGTAGGTAAGGAAGAAAGGAATGTTTTTTGGAGAAATTTGAACTGTAAAATTATTGTAAAGATGAAAAGACTACAGCACCACAGGTTCCCAAGTTGTCTCCAACCTTAGCACTGATGTGGCTCGACGATGCTTAACTTCTCAAATCGGACGGGATGAGGTGCATTCATCGTGATATGGCCGTAGTCATATATTTTCTTTAATTGTGAAATATAATTGTATCTGTAGTTTTTCGACAACAGACACATGTCCTGTACAACAATGAAATTGAGCATTGCCTATGACAAGTAAATGCATGGATGTGAGCTTCAAAATATGAAAGTTACATTTTCCAAAAATATAAATAGATAGCAAGTGGGTTGAACGATTGAAATTGTCTCTTGTTCAATTAAAAAAAAGAAACCTACTGCAATGAATACACTAGCTATTATGATTATAGATTTATTGAGCCCTCTTGTACTTTTACTAATCAATTAATAGTTGAGAATAGAGTTTAAGAGGGCTGACAATTATTTCTCTCACTCAGTATTTGCAGAATTGTAAATCCACAGCACTCCTAATATCAAGAACAAAACCACAATTATATGATAGTAGATTGAATCAATTCAGTTTTAAATAAATCTCTGTTGTACAATTCACTTAATATTAAACTATTCTCATAAATCAAAGTACTCTAAATACTGGAGCACGCTTCACTTCTTAAACAATCAACAATAATGAAAAGAGTTTCTATATAATCAACTGAACTACTGCCTCAAACACATTCTGGACAATAGGCAACTTCAGTTCTGAACAATAATCAGATCTGTCTTCTGGATATTTAATTTTCTTCTTTTTTTATTTACAAATTTAGGATAATTTACAAGTATTAGTTTACATCTTTTTCGATTTGGTAATCTTCTTAGTTGTGGTGGTTGATTGTTTAGCTCTCTTTTCAATTGAATTTTTCGAAGATCTTTTCACTGAAATTTGTTTACCATTTAAATTTGCATGATGATAATCAATATCATTACGATGTCTTGTTCCACTTATAATATTTGAAGTATCAATATCAAATAATGGTAATCTTTTAGATAAATCTACTGGTTTAGATCTTGACCATTCTGTTTTTGTTGGAATTCTATCTTCGGAAGATGAAGAAGTATTTGATGAAGTATTTCTAGCTGGCATTTTGCTGTTAGTTTTTGTTATTTAGTTATTTTGTTTTGTTGTGGAAATATCATTATCGATACCAGTTGATCTATTTATTTCCATGATGATTTCCACTAATTTTGTGATTCCGATTTTTAGTGGATTTTCCACTCATCACAAGAAGTTGAATTTTTCTATTAATATTTTGATGAAAGGAAATTTCATGAAAATCAACAACAAAAGAAAATAACAAAACAACATGTTCTAGGCGATTTATTTCGCTTAAATTTTAGGCGAAATTTATCTAGGCGAATAAAATCTGCATGCTTGGGTCATGCGAAATTTATCCTTATGGTCATAACTTCCATAAATATTGAATATGTTGAGAAAAGGTGTTTATCATTCTACTTTTCCAATGTTGGAGGTATGAACAACAAGGTCAAAACCATCGTCACAAGTCATATTTTATATGGTGTTAAAGATTGGACTCTTTCTACCTGATTCAATAAGATA